GCACCACGACGCAGTTATTCATGCTTTCCAAGACAACTGAGGGCGCCGTTGATGTGACGTCAATCATGTCATCTAGGGAAGACAAATTGTGAACCCAGAATATACTTAATTGAAAACTTTGGTGAGAATGGGGTTGATGTTTGCTTATTACTATGCACACGACCAACTATAAATCAGCAAAAAAGAGAATATTTGGTTCAGTAACATCCACAAAAATTCATGACTTTTTTGTTTCAAAATCAATGTAACACTGAGGCTTTCTTCCTGGGATGATATAACAGTTTTGCTCACAAATATTAAAATGCTCATTAGCAGAAAAACCAAGAAGGCAGTAAAATATCCTTTAAAACAGTGAAACAAAAGTTGAAAATAAGGTCAATTAAGACACAAAGGTGCATTTTTAAGATTTACATTTAAACAAAATTAATTGCGGTTAGGCCTATCCTTTAAAACCCATGGACACATAACGAAAGTAGAGGTCAAAATTTGTCACATTGGCATTCAAATTTATTTCAGTGAATATGTATTTGACTGAATGTGCTCTCCGGTTACTCCGGTGATGTGAACAATTCCGGTTGCCAAGTTTAGTGTTTGGACATGTAACATTTTGCGGTGGTAAGCAATTTAGAACGAGCCATGTTCGGTACTTAAAGAGCGCATGCCGAAACTGAAGGGCGTCCGAAGCTCTTGGGAACAGCGGAAGGCGCACGGGATCCGCCTCGAGCAGTAGCACCCCTTCTTTGATTGAAAGATCCGTGTTGGTGGGGAGTGTTCACTTTGCTGGTGAAGCACATTCATACTCGTTTGTGAACCAGCGAAGTCCAGTCCCCACCAAAGAAGCCTCCGTTACAAGGAAAATTGCGCCCTCTCTTGGTTCCGCTCGCGGCTCATAGTCTGTCTGATCAGCAGAGTCAAATGCCGACTAATCACGCCCGTGATTTGTTCCTGAAAGACCTCGCCTTTTTGAAACACAGATCATCTGCGCCGCACATTCAAGAAGTACATCCGTCATTTTTTTTTTAAACAAAACTGAAGGGGAAAATCATGCTCGCGTTTTCTGTCTATTTTGGATGGCGGGCAATAACTTTTGAACAACTGAAATCCAAACAAGTACCAGACACTGCGAGATTACAAGCCATATTACGGGCGATTCACAAAAGTGCACCTCCAAGAGTTTGCAACACGTGGGCCTGGGCCAATCACAGAGCGCGAAATCTGTCGACCCAATGCGCGTTTGGAAAGGGTCGACAGATTTCGCGCACTGTGGTTGGCCAACGCGTTGCAAACTCTTGGAAGCGCACTATTGTGAATTGCTTGTATTCTTTCTTTAGTTTTAAGACGTTCAGGTCGTGTTTACTTCATTTAACATTGACGCATATGGACTCAGTGACAAATGGAGAATTTGCTGTCATGTAAATCAAACCATCGCGCAAAGTAACGTTTCATTTTACTTGGATGATTGGCACAAATTTACCAAATCCCGAATTTGAATTCCAATTTGAAATGCTGTTTGAGCGCGTCCGTACACTTTTTGGGAAATACATGTATGTGGACAAAATGAGCACGATGCATGCTTGCCCTTAATGGACTCGAAATAATCGTTTTAATTGAAGGGATGGGCGCTATCCAATCAGCGTGGGGACTCTATGCTTAATTATTGTCTAACCTGGCACCAAATGTAATTTGAAGAGCTTGGCCTACAAATCCTAAGAGATTCCGCTCTGAGGGAGTGATAATGTGGCACTTAGAATCCTCCATTTAAAATCAAAAACAGGAATACACGGCATCTCATCATTAGCATCTTCAATTTCAGAATTTCTGGAAGTCAGGATGACCATTGAAGCCCAAAGTCTGAAAGAAAGTCTTTTCTTCCAGAACTTTACCACATTAGCAAATTGTACATTGCACATGGTGATACCACAGGCTACATAATGTTTCGCATGCTGAAGTGCATGCCCGGCACTAAAGCATTTGTATGACGTAACCGACTAACGCTATGAAAACGTCTGAGTACTAATCAAGTAAAAGAAATGGCGTCAAGAAATCCAACAAAATTTAATGAGTAGGCCTACAGCTGTGAAGTAATCTGGTTAAATACAAATTCGGTGACATGGGACTGATGTACTCATCGCCACGACAATATGAAGAAAGTCTCCAAAGAACGGTTCATAAAGCCTTCTCTAGGCTAGAGAACTATGGAATCTTTTATACAATCGAATTCATCTGCTATTTACGAGCAGATATTATTCAATTCATCCCCTTGGGAGCCGGCAGCTGATCAAAAGCAGGCGCTAAAACGTGAACAAGCGTCAAGGCGAAGGACATGACACTGTCTGCATGAGTTCAACTCATTCTTGGCAACCTCTGGGTCCCGTACATTTGCCCTTGACCAAAGCGCAGTCTCTTGTTCGAGGGATATGCCCGAGTGCCGAGCGAGACAGCACATTGAGTGCCCTGCACAATCATGCAAAACTAATGGCATGCAGAGGTGGGCAACTCAGAAATAGCGCTCGGGCGGTTAATCGAATGGAATGGATTACATTGAAAACGTCTTTGCTGAGACCAGGCTGTACATTTTGATATTTGCCTTCCTCACCATCTTATTACCACTGACAATCTTCTTTTTCTTGCTTTCTGCATTCGATCCATACGTACAAATGTACATTGTACAAGCACTGTTAAATTAACCTTTGAGAAGGAATTAAATGGTTCAGGGGGAGTTCGAACCCCTCTCAATGACGAGTTCCCTTCTAGGTTAGCAATTTTAGACAACAACCGTATATAATGATTTGTGGAACGACTTCCAAATAACGAGTCCATAAGTCGGGTGTAGCGAATTACGGCGGGGGTTATTGTTGTGCATGTGAAAAAAGGTCCACGTGGGTGAACCCCTCCATCTCTGTATATGCTCTGCTAATCAAGGAACGTGCCTGAAGCAGACAACCAAGCCAATGCGAACTGCGCCAATAACAACAACTGGTACGAACCGAATCACAATATATCACAACATTGCCTGCGGTCATAAATTATACAACAGCTTTGTACTTCACTTTCACTTTAAAAGAGGTGAACTGCTTTTTATTTCTTCGTGCGTCGATATTGCAGCAAGGGGAAAACAACACAGGCTGACGCTAGATTTTTACGAGCCCGACATTTCTCTTTGTCGGCGAATTGGTGGACTGCCCGCTGAAGGTGACGTACAAATTGCAGAAGACATTATTATTCTGCCCATGTAGTTCTACTCGCGCACTGATGAGAGGAATTGAAAGGCGGGGAGGGGGGGTTAACAACCCTTGACGTATGCTCATTGCATTGTAAATCAAAGCCGTCGTTATTGTTGCAGTATTCACTCAACCCTCCTCAAAAAAGGAAATCGACTGTGCAGCTCAGAAAAAAATGTACATATTTGTTATTTCTTAAGTACTATTAACGGCGGCTACGTTAGATCTATGCTGGAGTATGCTATGCGCCGGGGTTAGTCTTGCACTCGGGTATCACTTTCAAACGATCTCATGGCATGTAACAAAAACGAAATCGGGCTTTTAAAATCATTACGTTATTTAGAGACTATTCATTCTTCAATGAATCACTTAAACTATGCGGAGAGGCTCATAGGAGGAAGGATCATTGTGTCAATGTCGATAAATCTCTCGTCTGAACCCTCCGTGCTCAAGACTCAAGCCATGGTAAAACCTTGCGCAACAGTGCTAAATATACAGAGATTATAATCACGACTTCACGGTCTGAAACAACACTGTCCCCTTTTGTTTGTCGCTACGGTAATTGTTGAGTGTGATTTTTCAAATTAATGTTTATTTACTGAAATTATTTAAACGTTTTCAGAATTTGTTTTGTATTTCTAACTGCACTGTTTATTTAATTTAATTTTATTTAATGTACGTGTTAATTTTTTCTTTTTTTTTTAACCGTGTTTAAGGGTAGCATACAAAGTGTGGACCTCTGCACAAGAGTCCACACAATGTAAGGTTAGATGACATCGGACTCGAACATGTATGCGCATAGTTTTCCCTCTCGACAAAAAAAATCTTCAGAGGCATGTTTGGGTCAAAGTTATTGTGGCAAAATAAAGAGTAACAGCCCAGGAAATCATCATCCAAAATCCACTTTGAAGGGGCTATCGTCGTTTGATAGAAAGGAGCCTTTCCCCAAGTTTTCTTAACCACGGGAGAACAAAGGAATATCCACAGTAAAAATGTGGGTGTGTGTTGATGTATGGGGCGGGGGATATGCCAGTTAACGCTGTACGTTCAAGCCACTTATTTGGTACCTCAAAGGGTTAGGCCCCCCCATTTCGTAATTCGAAATAAAAAAGAGTGGACTGAATAAGCCGAATATAACAACTGACGCAGGCAACATTCGACGATTCAACCCCTCTACAATGCGATTGACATTATATGTATATATATGCACGTTACGGTGAGTTGTTTATTTAACAGCTAAGCCACTGTAGGCGTTCATTTTAAATCCGACCTTTTGCAGTGAAAAATATGGCATGCCCCCCGCCATCGTAGTCAGTCCTACTAAGTGCAGAGAAAGCATTAACCGGGTTTCATATCACAAAATTACACTGTACCATCCAACACAAGATTGACTGTTTCTGGCTGGAAATACACGTACATATATTACATACAAGGCAAACGGAATGCAGAACACAAACACCGACTACAATAAGAACGAAAATAGACAACAGACGAAGGTTAACTTTATTCCTCTAGAAGGACCTTGAGCGGATATACTGTACTAACTGAAAAACTGCAAGACTTTCTGTTTTCGCCAAAGCCTAACGGTAGACCCAAAGCCTAACTGGGCGGTCGAGTCTTTCCACATTTCCAATTCACTGAATCGAATCTGCGTAGGTTTAAAACAACTAAGTCCACTGCATTATTCCATTGTGTTGCGAAAAACATTTCAGACTGCGACATCGGCTAAGTGACAGTGCATGCTTCAATCTTCAAATATTTGCTTTGATCTCCTTTCAGTCTTCCTGAAGGGCATCGCTAGAGAGGGGAGCCACAGGGAGGAATTCCTCTTTCCACGCTAGCCTGTGTCACAGCATGCATATGAAGAGCCGGCAGCCAGCTGGTAGTAAAACGCCAACAGACAGCAAGCCCAAGTGGTTCGAGGACGCCAAAAACACACACAAGCACCAAGCTAAGTATCTTGGCAAAATTCTGAGCATGAAGGAATCGCTCGCTAGAGAGGAGCAGCAGCGGCAGCAGCAGGCGGGAGGGCTCGTCAGCAGGTTAAAGAACAGTGGCAGCAGTGGGATGGCAGACCCAGGTACGGCCACTAGTTACAACCAAGTGTCATCGACTAACCCAGGATTTCCAAACAGAGGAGCCAAGACAAAATTCCGCGAGATGGGGAAAGGGCGATCCCCTCCAGATTTGTACCCAATTGACATTGTCCAGGGAAAAGCAATGTTCGATAAAGGGAGCAATCCACTGCAGCGGGACAAACAAAACAAGTGGTGGAGGTCAGGAAGCCTCGAAGAGAGACACCTGATCAAAAGAAGCTCCAAGGACATGCCCAAGATTCTGCCGCCAATGGCCACCATACCGTCAGTGGACAGACGGTCCGGATACTGCGAAAAGCTGAAGAGTTACTCGGCAACCTGTACAGGATCCAAGGTCACCAGAGAGGAGCCGGAGAGGGACAAGATGATTGACTTAAAAATGCCTGTGAAGAAGTCGGCCAAGGCATTCAGCCACATGAAAGGGGCTAACAAGACCCCTGGGAAACTTTGTAAGACGCGGCCTTCAGATAGGCCATTGAGGAGAACGCAATCTCTGGACTTTCGGTGTGAGCTGGCTCCTGTTCATCCAACGGCTAACATGGACACTGACATATCAGCACAGTCATGCCAACAAGGCCGTCACAGAAGCAACACTGGTGACTATGCTAGGAAGGGCAGCACTTACGTGCTGACGAAACAAAGCTCACTGAGCGAGCTGATGGACAAGATGGAAGTCTTGGAGGGTGCAGTCGGGGGTGCAGCTGACGCAATGGAGTACTCAGACGGGGGCTGCGTGGCGACAGCAACAAATGATGAGCCGATGATACCAGATGACATGTTGAACTGTGTGCCCCTTTCTACCGTCGACAGAGACGAGCACCGTGTCTCCACCCAATCTCGTGGGGGGAACGTCAGATCTCTGCTAGAGGTTTCCAACCAGAGCCTCCTAGAGCTACCGTCATCTGAGCAACATAGCCTCCTCCAGCGGAGGCACACCTTGCCAATCATCAACCTCCGACCTCCGACCCCGAGACTCACGGACCGCGACGAGAAGACCGCAGACGACCAGATGGGTCGGATTCTGCGAAAGGTCGTGTGTCAGTCGGTGCTGCGCAAACGGGAACTAAGCAAGTTGTGCGAGGATATCGAGGAATTTAATGAAATCAATACAGTACTATCAGGGCATCTGGAAAGGTGAAGAAAGTATGAAGGGAATTATGAGGTTTATTTTGAATGTCTATGTACGGGCATCACTGATGGCTTCAGCTACCTTGTGACTTCCACCCTCTATGATTCAATCTCATAATGCTTGCCTGCGGTACATTTTCAAGATCCGAGAGAACAGTTACTGTAATTTCGCAAAGGGCAAGACAGTTCATAAAACATTTAATTGGTTTATTCAGTGTGGTTTAGTCGAGCAAAATTCTTTGTTTAAAACATGTGCATCACACGCTTTCAGTATTAGCCAGTGTTACACTATATTTCGAACTTTTGAGTTTCGGAGGGGTGTGGTCGCTTTTGGGAGGACAGACCCACCGCATTACTTGCCACATGTGTGTGCTTGTTTGGTAATGCTCTCAATCTAGTGGGGTTTTGAGCAAAAATTTTAAAAAGTTAGTGCTTTTGCCAATAAAACACTGGCAAACATGATTTTCTTGCGCATTTTTGTTTTTCATTTGAAAACTACCCATGACGTCACACTTAATCAGAGTTTGTCAAACTTTTTCATATCAGCTGAAGTGAACCGTAGATATAGTCATGCTTGTGGGTGTAGTCAATAATTCTTGCCACTTTGAAAATTCAAATTTCGTCCTGCCCCGGAAGAGTATCCATTTTGAGAAAATCTCGATAATTTGACACCATGTACTCCAGTGTCGGTTACCAAGGAAACACTTTTCACTATAACTGTCTGGCAGGACTGGTTGACTGCGTTAGCTTTGATTCCATGTGCATACATTTACATTTATCTATATTCGGTGTTACTGTTACTATTGTAGTTCACCTATTTTGTATGCTAAATTTTAAATGCAGTCAAACATGAATGATATCTACATGCATAGGCATCATTTTGTTGTAACAAAAAGTCATGCTTTGTCTTATTTTAGACTTTTATTTGACAGGGTATCAATATTACAAAAGAAGGCTTTGTTTGCTTTGCTTTGATTTCTGTGGTGTTTTAAAAAGTGTATCATCAGTTTTGAGAGTTAACTGTGTGCATCTCTTTAACACTCTAGGAGTAATATTTGTCACTGTGGTAAAAGCAAAGATCGCACTTCGAAAATCAACTCCCTTGTCACTTGTTTCCGTCCACTTTGCTTGTACTGAAGAATACTATTTACCTGCATAGTTTGTGCAGTATATATTGGACAGTTTGAGTTGTGACAAAAGTAGCATAAAAAACAAACAAAAAACAAAGCAAGTGTCACTTATTTTTGAAAAATTTATTGTGCTTATACTGATAGAGAAGACTCATAACACTTCTGCACTTGTATCATACACGCATGGTTATCACAGATTCACAGTGTGCAGTTATTTAATGAACGGTGTCTCGCGGGTGTACAGTGTATGTTAGTTGGTATTTTATTTATAAATCCACCTCCACAGGACGAACTTTCCTGATGGACTCATAAGGTCCATCCAGGGAGAAGTTTAACCAGTGTTAACACGGATTAATTTTAGACGAATGTGGCTCCGTACATAAAGAGATAAAGTTCGTTAGCAGATGCACTACTTAGACAGAGAGGGAAGCACACTAACAGACATGCACATGTAATGCATATTTCGTCCTTCTCTGGTGCACTTCAATGCAATATCCACTGAAGCACACAGGTTCACTCGAGGGCAACTTCTGCATTAGTACCGTAAATCACATCACTTGTTTTGGTCTTTCATGAAATCACAAGCTCAGTCTTGTGATGATGGCCTTGCGCAGTTTTACATACAAATCAGACTTTTTTCCATTGGATAGAGATCACTGCCACTCAGACTCACTGATGATCCCTTTTTTACCACATGGGATATTTTGTGAAAATTTAAGAAATGGCATCAAGTCTGAAGATTAGAAGTAACTTTGAATCCTCTTTTTCACCACAAATAACAACCCCTCATTACCATTTCAGCCTCCTTCGATTACCAGGGATCACCATGCAAAGTGGACAAAACATGTTCTAAAAAGTATTCCACTGACCTTCTTGTCAAAATACAAAAGCCTAAGACAGACACCAATATTGGAACAATTAAACCTGATGTCCAAAGGACTTCCACAGACAATTTGTTGACTACAACTTCACATGTAGCATTCTTTTTAAAAATGCTCTGAAAAATTTCTTGGCTCTCGTGAATTTCAACTGCCTCCCACAGAACACAATACATAATTATGTCATGCATGGTTTTCTTTACTCTGATTGGGTAAACACGACAAAAATACACCAGATTTACACATCCGACCCCTGACATATCAGCATGTAATGGCATAATGCAGACAGCATCACATTTACCAGAGCTTTTCCATTAGTGTGAGGGTTGTTGAAGCGACGTTGTGTAAATTCATCGATCTGGACAAATCAGTTTCTGACCTTGCCAATTTCATTGTGGACGGAAATCTGCACGCGTAATTGGTGCATAACAGGCCCTGATGGAATTTCCAAGATCTCCATACCAAGAAACATCACTCTAGCCAACCAAAAAATAAAACCAAAAACAAAAAAATAAACCAATTAGTTACGCACCAGCCATCCTGACTAAATTGCCCCTAACACAGAGTTGCAATTTTGGATCTACCCTCGTGACTCCCTGTTACTGTGTGAATACAGCCTGGTGTTAACAGCAGACCATGATTTATTGGTGTTGCAGCAATCAAGCGTTGTCAGGACACAAACAACTGGCCTTGACATTTATGCTGCAGATCATCCATTACCAGCATGACAAATGGGTCAAAACAAGCCAGTTTTTCAATTACGAGAAGCAAGCATGGACAGACGTCTACAGGAACAGGGACAGTTCCCGTTTCAATATGAACAATTTACATGCATGTATTCTCTCCCCCCTTTAGCTGCCCACTGCATGGGGCAAAATTTGACTTGAAATGTTGAATACTACTTGTGTATATATTTATCAGCACTGAACATCCAGCAAATGTGACAAAATTAGGGCTGAGTCAATTCGAATAATTCACTATTTGAATATTCGACCTTCAATTATGTCAAACATCTGAATGTTCGGTGGTACTGACCAGCAGAATAAACCATATCACTATAATACTTTTTCACGTCTAAGAGTATCTCCAGCCACGATATAGCAAGATTTAAGAGACGAACAATAATTCTTTTCCTGTTGAAAATGTACATTCCTTTAAATTCTTTAATGAATAATGTACTTTTCGTTTAAATTTACTTGGAACAAGCCTCCAAAGTGCAATTTTCTCATTTAAAACAAAAGAAAATTCCCCTTCCTTTCATTACTTTTGCATTGGAATATTCAAATCCGAAAAATAATACTTGAATATTAGATGATCGATCAAATATTCAATTATTCAGCACAGCCTTAGACAAAATGGTTGCAGTACTAATAGAGGGGGGGGGAAATTGGAACTTTGTAGTATAGTCACTTGGGTATGCCACTCGATAGAAAAACATGCACTGCTTTGAATAAATTCATGAAATTCAATGAAATACTTCACTGAAGTATTTTATTGAAGAAGGGCGAGATGACTTTTTTGATCCATTGTTTGGAATCATCCATCGGAGCACTAGGATGGTACCCTAGAATTTGCCCATACTTCATCATTTTCATTTCCATACTGAAAAATTCATACACGTATGTGTACTGCCTTCCTTGGGATTCAAGATGGCTGACTCAAAACTAAAGCCAACTGTCTTCCACGATATGACTTTGTCACTTTACACCGTCTAGCGTGTAGGTTTTGCATTTTTCCAAGCTCACATCACAAGGTATTCAAGCACTGATTAATTGAACGATTATGGTCCAGTGTCATGCCAGACTTACTGACCTGTGAACTATATACATGTAGATCTAAACTTTAGTAGTGTAAGAGGGCTTAAAATATTTTAGTGAATGTAATTAAAACGACTGAAGGATAACATGTCATAACTGGTTAAATTATGTACTGCACCATGAGTGTCACTACTTGGCAGATATCAGCACGTTATCAATTTTCTGTGTTATCATTATTATTATAACATGTAAACCTGTTTGTCGAATATAGCAATTTTTTCCTCAAAGTGTTTTTTCTTATTACATATTAATGATCTGAAACTAAATCTATTCTCCCCTCCACTATAACTAAAACTTATGAGCAACAGCAAGGATTTCACTCATCTGAATGAGACGTGCACTCAAGTTAAAAGCTGTCAATGTTCACATACCTTTGACTTGTTCATGTCATCTCTGGGCATCTTGCTCCTCCTGCAGCTTGTTCTTGAGATGCTCGTTAATGGTAGAGAAGGGATTTGATTTGAAGGCAGAGTGTCTTAGGACTTGCTTGAATCGTGTTGATTCCTCTAAGCTGTGAATCAACACAGAAGAGTCACCAAACCTTATTTTTCTCACTGAAGGAAGATGTATAAATAATCATCTTACAACGGTAGCAACGAAAGATTTTTGGAGTCAATTCACAACTTAGAACAAAATGTCAATGCTAAAATACTGCTACGATGTTGTTACAACCAGTAAAAACTTGAAAGCTTTAAAAATCTCCACAAAATGCATGAGTTTCAATTTCAAAGCAATCTGCTTTGCTGTGTCTCTGTTCAGAACTCAAAACCTACATGTATATTTCAAGACGGATACCGTACAAGGCTAACATAGGATAATAGCCACAATAAAGTACAGGATGAAAGACAACCACCCTCAGCCAAATAGACATTAACATTTTGTAACTTGACTGCCGTCAAATTATAATCTAATAAATTTCTGACTAAACAGTTTGATATATTTGTAAACTGTTTCAAATCTTAATGATGAAAACATATTATTCGTGCATTCACTATCAGAATTCAATTTGAGGCACGTGCACATACATTTAGTATTAGTACACGCAGGTGACATTGGCTTAATAAAGTTGAATAGATGAGGAGGGAAGACTGTAGCATGGGGCCTCTTGATGGCATGTAACATGGAGCCACACAAAGATATGTTCAGGGAGTGTATGAAGAGAATGCAGTGTGGCATTGGGTGGCAAGTGGAATGGTTTATAAGCAAGTCAAATACACAGACCTTGTTATTTCACCTGCCATTATGTATTTTGAAATTGGATAGTCTGAAGAGAAGTTAGTTAAGGTTGAAGTCAGACTGCTAGAAAGAACAAAATGCCAATTATAATTTTAGCAAAAACAAAAACTGTATTGATAAATCTTCAGTTTGAATCTTATCCAGAACATTACTTATAATAAGCATTATTTGCATCACAAATTTCCAAGAAAATCTAAAAATACATAAAAATAACTCCAAGTTATTTTCAGCTGTTTCTCGATTGGTAGCTGTGCCCAATTCTGCCTGATATTAACATACTGTGTCACACGCTGATTCAAAAACATTTCTAGTGACTTTGGACTGATTTTTAGTGCATTCGTTCACTTCTTCTCTTAGCAAATCCTTTTCATTGGCTGAATGTTCTGCTATGCTACCCGGTATTTAAACACCAGAGAGGTAACAGACACTGCCGCCTGTCATTTGAATACCCAAATACAGCACACGTATACTTTTTACTGATAACCAGGACCGAGCATGTCGAAATATTGATGTTACAGGGGCAAACAAGTTCTGGGGATGAAATGTTGTCCCTACAAGGTTCTGACTTTCCCGACACAAGAAATTTTCCTAGTAGTGCAGGAAGGCCAAACCAGTTACATGTTGGAAACCTCGAGGATGTCATGCGCAAATCAATTTCCACTGTCATGTGCAATGTTTAATGGGAGTGAAGATTCTGATTGGGACACTAAAAGGTGAAGAACTAGAAATCTGTTCTGGTGGTCATGCTGGCGGCGTCCAAAACTGTGAATGTAGACATATATGTGTGTTTCTCTTTGCTAGATGTGGCACATCACTGTGTGGCTGCGTTTCCTCTTTACTTTTACACACCAGTGTAGTAGTGTGAATAAATAAAAGCAGTGCTGGGCACTCACAGAAGCTGTTGTCTGTCTCTGGCTTTCATGGTGCCTCTGTGTTGTTTCCTCTCCTCAACCATTCTGCAGGAAAGACATTATCAAAACAGGCTAGTGACAACGCAGGTCAGGCTGCTTTTTTCCTCCAACCAATACAAAATCTCACAAAGCCTTTTACCTCTTAGACAAATATCGGTCCCCTAGCTACGGCTGCAATTTCCTTTGGGAGGAAAAAATTCTTTCTGGCAATGGAATGAGGAGGGAAAGGGAATGCGGAGGAAAAATAGACGTTACAGGGGTACTTTGAACAGGGAAAAGCTGAGATTGTCATCTTCTGTATCACTTGATAAAAAGTATTGTACGCTCATAGGTACTGATGCACCAAGCTCCCTTTGGCAAAGAAAACAATGGTGTAAAATGAGTCCGTGTGAATCCGAGTTGAAGGTTAATTGACCCTTTTCTCTTGCTCACTGGCATGTATCGTGACTCTTTGAGTACAGGATGCTGAAAAATAAGCCAGTACATGTACATGTTTCTTCAAAACTTACATGTACACCATTAAAACGGTGGCATTTACTAGAACGTGCATACCTTAATAGCCAGTTCACAGGAGTTTCTTTACAGCACTAAACAAAATCCCTGTGAAAAAATTGCATGCCAATGCATGAGGAACTTTACTGACAAAATCATCTTGAAATTGAACCATGTCTTCAGAAAGTTTTTCAATAAATGTACCAATAATTGTATGTAGCACCATGATACCAAAACTGGCATGGCCACACAGATTTTTAACTATTATTTCCGGCAACAGAGGTGATTTATTTGCGGACATGTCACCTACAGTGAGCAAAGAATCAATATTTAAAGATGTACGTCGATATTGAAAAACTGCACAACCGCAAAGCCAAATATGAGTCTTGTGGCTAAGCCCACTCTCATGCCAAAAAATGTAAGGTTCAAAATAGTGCAATCTGATTGGTCACGATTCCTTGATTCTGTATCATAGCTGGGAAAGCTTGCATGATTATGTTTAAACAAGCATGTGTGCTGCTGCACACATTTCGAACGTCATGTTTGTTGACAAAACTCTGTCCCCTGCCCCGCCCCTCCCTTACTTTGCTTCTTGAGTCTTGCGATGACTGAGCGCAATGATCTCAGACAGCTCCGGCAGGGCTTGGTTCAGGGGATTCAAGTCACCAATGATGGGCCTCTCTGATCGCTTCTTGGCATTTTTCTTATTCCTCTTGGCCATTTGGATCGTGTCGATTTCTTTGGAGTAAAAGAAAGAGAAGATATCGAAGTTCATGGTCTTCAAGAGACAAAACAGTTTTACTTTGCAACAAAACATTGTCTTCAAAATAAATTTTACACTCAGTTCATGTGCTACTGTAAATAACCATGCTTCAGGTGCTGTTCTCTCTTTTGGGCCAAATGAGGGCAGTGTTCAAGGAAACAGGCCAGAGCTGTATAAAGAGACTGTAGCGCCAACTTCAGACTTTGGAACTAAGAATGGCTGTTCATTACATGTATGTGTCTGTACAGCATGCGGCTATTGTGTGCTGATTGTCCATGTGCTCTGATGCATAATCCACTGACAACAATTGAGACAATCACATCACAACTCTATGAACAGCTGTCAAACAGTCTTTTTCTTTGTATGCCTGATCTCCAATGGGCTTCATTCGCTATGTTATGTAGCTATGGCCGGCATTATCACCAAAGCTACGTAACAAAATTGTCCGACAAACCACCTGATAGCTTTGAAGTGTCCAAGAGGGTAAAAATTACAAATTAATAAGGCAGGTTCGTGCTCTGTGTCAAAAGCATACGTACATGATGACGTCAATTTTTTATATCAAGGCAAACAATCATGCTGAAACTTCACTAGAGTTGAGCACACTGCTAGGCTGCACAATTTCACCACAAACGTGTCATGACACCAAACTGGCATCCATGTTAGCTTTGCACTGAGTTTATACACGTAAACCCGCTTTGGGTTTTCCTCCATAGATCCCAATCATTACTTTCTAGCCATTTGTCGTGTCTCAGCTTCATCTTCTCCTTCTTGGTGATTTGTCCCTGTCCCCCTCTGATGCTCTTCTTGGAGATGAAGCTCCTCCTGTCGTCCTCGTCACGTGGGCTGGCCAGGGCATGCTGGGATTGACTGGTGTCTGACGATGTCGCAGCCAGACTGAAGAGCCCCTGGGTGGGGAACTCGGAACCAGGAGGTATCAGGCTTGCCTGTATTGTTAAATGAGATGGAGTTCATTACTACCGGCCAATTTGACGTTTGAAGAGTTGACCGTTTGGACAACTTGTCCATTGTGATAATATGACTATTATTATTGTGATAATATGGCTATATGTATATAAAAATTCCACAATGGAAAAGCCTGGTTCATACAGTAGGTGCGGTCGCAAAAAATACACTGCATGTACCTTCTTCAATAGCAAACATTATAAACATTTTGCATTTTCTCATCATTTGTCCTCCACAAAATATCCCAATTTACGAGTGTCATAAACATCAAGAAGTTAAAGACGGGCGGGGGACCTGTTCACTTCAGGGGGGATTTTAGTGAGAGAGCATCTCAAGTCAGGAATGTTCGCATTCCAGTGGACCATTCCCACTTGAACATTTGGATTTCATTAGAACAATTACACATCAGTGGGCACGGTCCGCTTTGTGCACAGACCATGCAGTGGCAGCATTCCAGTGGGAAGGCTGGGTTCCCACTGGAACGGCCATCTGTTTTGGGATGAAAACGCTGCTTTCCAAATTGAAGGTTCCGACCATTCTGAATTACATGTATGAAATACTAAGGACAAGGGGTTCAGTACTGAACAAGATTAACAAGCAGAGTACAATAGAAGGTGTTTATGACACTCAAAAAGTCTGATGGTTTGATGGACCTATGGAATTCTTTCACTGCCAAAAGATATTTAAAAAAATGGTGTCCCAAGAGTAAGGACTGCATGTTAGTTTGGGCAAAGAAGAAACATGACCAAAAAGATGAGGCGGTCCAAAACTGTACACCTGTTGTGGGAAAGAGGCTTCTGATCAACCACCATGTTATGTGATGTAGTCTTGCTCATAAAAAGGCATGGGCATGATGGGGCAAATCTCCCCATGTCATGAAGTTACATGTACGTACCCCATGGAACATGCAGTTTGACACACCCATGACAACAGTTTTTTGAAAAGCATTAAATTAATCTAACAAAAATATATGTGGGTGTCATCCATTCTGCAACTAGTTTACATCCAATCTTCTAGACTTTGCTGAGTGCAACCATGGAGGTACCAGTACTATGTAGGTAGGTGCAACAGTCTGTCACCGTTTTCATGAAGAGGCAAATTTCTCATCAGAGAGTAAAACCTACAAGTAGGTTTCGAGAAAATCGTATTTGAAGTTGGTCTCTTTTTCAAATGCTTATTTCCCCAGTATTTAGCATGCCTTTGATGTAACCAATGCTACTTCATGAAAGAGGGGATCTTATTCAATGACACAAAACTACCAAATGATATTCACAGATGTCAATTCAAATTGTTCATCTTGTAAACAAATTCACCTTTTTGTGCAAACGATAAAATTCATGTGACTTATGTCTACTGGTGAAAATGTGAGCTATTTTGCTACGGCGCATGCCAGGTGCAAAATTATTACATTTGCATACATTTTCGGCGTCAAATTTGCCTCTTCGTGAAAAAGGCAAAACCAGTTTGCCCATGGTTTTGTCCTCCATAGCCAACACCATATCCATGGAAGACAAACTCTCCTCTTCGTGAAAACGCAAAATGCAGAATAGGACCTAGTTGAAATTTGCCCTGGGTAAGATCACTGTGATTTGGCTGATTTCAGTAGATTTGGGTAAAAAAAGATTACACCAAGTTGTAGGCACTGCATAACCTAGTTGATTTTGCCGGAAAACAGAATTTTGAAAATAATCATGATTTTGGATCAAAGTGCGAAAATGGTGACAAGTCACTAGAAGTACATACAATGTACACAACACGTCAGTGTAGGCCTATGTCTGCCTGGCCTGTGGGGTCCTGTTGACTGACCATCACATTTGGTAAAAACAAAAACAGTGTAGATGTATATTTAGCCTGCGCTGGCAAAAATTATCGAAATGGTATTTAGCCAGCTACAAGACTTGAAGTAGCCAGTTACTATGCATCTGCCCAATAAAGTATCATTTAGCCTGGTATAGACCCGACATTATAAACATGGTAAATTTGCCTGCGATGGGTAAATATCACCTACCTAGAAAGAAGTCTCAAAATTAAATGGGCCTGTTTAGTCGTATCCGTGCTTACCTGTACTGTTGGAACTAACGTATGCCTAAATCAATTATACTTTTCTGCTGCTTTGCCATCTTGGGTGTTAATTTCTTAGTATAAATAACTTGTTCACTATTAACTATGGGGATCGCTACCCAGCAAGCTTTGCTTTTTAGTGATTCCTAATCACATATTTTTGTTTACATTACTTTCTGAGTGTATTCTATTTTTTATGGGGAAATAAAGTTAAAGTTGAAGCTTCACCACTTGCATGCATGTGTGAATGCATGGCATACAAACCCTGCAAGGTTCAACCGTGGAGGTAAGAAGAGACCTCCATGGTTGAACTTATACGGTACCCTACAGTTTCGTACAGTTGTTACGCCCCAACTATAGCATTAGTCCCAACTATAGTTGGGCCCGTCCCAACTATTGTTGGGCCCGTCCCAACTATTGTTGGGCCCGTCCCAACTAGAGTGCTACAGTTGGGCCAGCCCAACTACAGCAGAGAGGTCCTGTGTGCGCGATGTGCCCAGCATGTGCCAAAGTCATATTGTTTACAAATGTCATGTCATTGGTCATAGGGCTAAGTGCCACATTTTTGATGAATTGTGTCAATTGTGTCTGACTTGGATAATGTTGAGACATTTCCCACAGACATTGGTCAACAATAGTTGGGCCAGCCCAACTGCAGCACTTCAGTTGGGACTTATGCCATAGTTGGGGCGTAACAAGGTTAAGGTTTCCAGTGTATCGTGTTCCTAAAATATTTCAGTAAAATGTCACTTTACCTTTACGGCTGATAAATCAGGATGCGAGTCATTTTCTTCTCTCTTCGTTTTAGACAGTGCCGGGTTGTGTAGTTTACCGGTATGTTTTTTGGTTTTAATTTTGCCCATTTTCTGTTAATGAACTTAAGTTACAATGTAGGCCTAAGACTACGAAGTGTTCACAGGACAGCATGCACGTGTCTAGGATACTGTGACTGTACTGCTGAGTGCTAGATGTTTTGGTAGTTTCAGCTAGCTCGTGGTCACATTGCACATTGGCGAGTTGAAGGTTAACTACGATTATGTGAGGGCGCTGTGCAACAATAACGGTCACACCACAGCCTCACGCGGGTCAAACCTACGCAGACCTTTTCGGAGGTGAACTCCGGGGTATATCCAGCAAGAGATGAGACAGAGGGGTACCCAACGCCCCCCCCCCCCAACATGTCCAATCGCTATACACACTCTAGACTGTTGTTACCTAACACATTCCCCTAGATGTCTGAAAAGAATTCCTCAGATTCCAATGAAACAGCGACCAACATTAAGTGTTGTTCGCTTGATCGTAACATGATTAGAGGTGTCTTTCAAAGGCAACCATGGGGTATTTTGAAATAAAGAAGTTCCTAGTGCTGACCTGCGGTGATTGAAGGGAATTTGTTGAACATTGGTTGATAATTAGTACCTTTTGCGGTGTGCAGCGAAATACTACACAGGAATCTACATGTACATGGATATGGTTTTTTCATGATGCTCGCATGCCGAGCGCTAGCGACCATTCAGCGCTGTCCAACGTTGAGCCTGCCGATTGGACGCCACGACAGCCACTGAACTTGAAGTTACCTGAGTTTATGTTAATCTTGTGCGCTATAAATCTACCTTCGGTTGGCCACTTTTACCAAAAGGTCACATTTTTTTCAGCTTGAAAAATATGCACCTAGAAAAAGTACTTCTAACCGCTCTATCTCCCCCTGATCCAAGTACATTTAAATCCAACCCAAGCATTTCATATCTCACAGGTGAACAGATACAACATTTTAGAAAATGTATTAACAAGTATTTTTCCATGAATCCCGTTCAGAGTTGGATTTTTAAAGTAGTGGCCGGATGTTTCGAAATCTAAGAGTCGGTTAATTCTTCCCACAAACCCCTCCCCACCCCCACTCCAGTCAAGAAAAAGATATTGACATACATGTACATTTCGCGGGATAGTCATTCCTAAACCTGACCTCTCCCTTGGCAAGGTTGATTTAGTCCCCCGTGATGTACCAGTGCATTGACAGTTAAGAAATTATTATCGTAAATTATTCTTCTAGCCTTGTATCGACGGCAAACCATACGTTCTGCAGACACCTTTACAAAAAACACAACCACGACGCAAAATGAACAGGTCGCACCTTCCATTCGGAAAACAGATTTGTTGGGAGGTACTAGGTTTGACCGTTTAAATGACACAGCGCCCTCACTACGTCTCTCCCACATTATGCTTTTTCGATCCACGGTGTGTGTGTCACGGTGTTTTGTTTTTTTAAAGAGCACCTCCAAGGAAAATATGTTTTCCTTAGAGGTACTCTTTAATACAACCCCAAACACTTCATAATCTTACGCTGTGTTGGGTGCAGATAACGATGATCAGTTTTATTGGCCTGACGCTGCTACCCTTTTATTAAGCCTAATAACTGCACGCGCTCTGCAGATCTGCAGCAGCAGCACTTGGAAAGTTTTTAGCTCTCTGTAAAATAATAAATTGAATAAAATGTGAACATGATTATAAACTAATTAAGTGATCCGTCTGTATTTCACTTGTTCTGCTTGTCCACATACATGCAAATTTGTCTGTAGAAAATGGATGAAGCCATCAAAAGCGAAACTATATACGGTTTGTATGCCTTGCACACTACAAACCATACAGCTCTGCCTTTTTTTCTGCCAAGTGGAGACTCCTCGCGTGGTTCTACTAAAGCGCCCTCTTGTGATCTGGTGTACGTATACAAACAAAACAGCACACTCATGCAAAGCATGCAGCACGTACATGTACATATACATGTGTTCAAGTACATGTACATGTGTAAACGCACAGGTAGGTTTGACTCCACTGGTTGGTGCAGTCTATCGTGCTAGAATGCCGAGGAAAAAGACAAACAAGTCTAGCAAATTACCTTCAAACTCCCGTGGAAGTACGGATGAAAGAAGAGGAACGTACTGCAATGATAAAAATGACAAACACGACCAGTTTGAAAGACAAAATTTCAGAAAAGGGGGCACCTACTCTACCGTGCCAGAACAACCCGGAAATAAGCAAGCTGATTGGAGGGTCGGCGTTATCATGGCAATCTGTCTGCCAATTTCCATCCTCATTTTCTGGAAGGTCACCTTGCCGGTGATGTGGTGGATTTTAACAGTGATGGTTGGATCAGATTTTGCTCAAAAGTTGAGTTTTTTTAAACAAGGTAAGTAATTCCTGATTGGAGGATTGAATAAGTCATCTTTAGTTTGTAACAGGCTTATGCGTTACAAACAGGTGGGGATGGTATTGACAGGACATGGGTGACAATGCGGATTATAGACAAGTACAAAGTTTAAGTTGAAACTAGGCCGTATTAACGTTAGACCATAACGTTAGACCTGTCAGATGGGCAAAGACACAAAAAGGAGTCAACATGATCCATCAGCTATTTTGGAACATTCGCTTCCTTTAAAAAAAGAATTTGACCCTCTTTAAAGATTGAGAACTTATCATTTGGCCTTAAAAGATTTGTCTGAGCTAAGGTAATGCTCTCATTAAATAAGGCTCTTTTTATTTTTGACTTTTAAGATGTAATCCACATATTGACTTCAGAGTGTCCAGTTTGGCTATCAGCCAAAGAGCGAGCATTTCTGGATGACCGGTCAAATGATGGCATTCTGAGAGTAAGCAACATCTCAAGGGAAGGGTTTGAAGACATCGTCAGACGGGGAGAACCAGTGATTGTCACGGATGCTTTGAGGGGTAACAATTGTACCCTATTCAAAAACTGCCTGGCTGAGATCAAGCCATTTCTCAAGGTCAAATCAAAGCTCAAGGTTTTTCTTACTTCACTAGCTTTTTTCCAAGTATGCCCTTGAGAGATAATTGGATCATTTCTCCTCATATCTACCATTATTAGAATGCAAAAGGTCAGTACCCTTTGAGGGACCGTTGTTTCCCTACCAAGGGATCTAAAATATAGCTTAGCGTTTTAGTGGGCAATGCTGAAGATACACTGCCATTACGATGATGATGATATCACGTAATAAAGCAAATGGGTATTGGAAGTGTGGAAGTAAGGATTTTTTATTTCACCCTTGTTCAATCCGTATACTTTTGTATAAAATGGCTAACACTACAATGTAAATAGGATCACCACTTGGTGCAGACTTTCTGGTGATCTCTTGACTGAAATGAGATCAAATCTGAAACAGGCTTATGTACAAGTAGGTATGACTGTTAACAATATACAGTACATTTTTAGTGTGCAAGTGTACATGTGCCACTATGTTTGAATTCGGTGAAGACGTTGACCTAGTTCTAATCCATGCAATATGATAATTAACAGAAAAAAATAAATTGCCTGCTTGGTCACAGATTGGGAATCTTTTGGATTGTACGACTGCGGATACTTCATGAGGAAATTTCCAGAAGCAGAGTACTTTGATTGGCAGGTATTTCAAAAAACATTCAAGTCATTACCATGAGGAATAATTAAAAGAAACAAAGCTTCTTGTGCTCTAAGTTGTCTAGGATTAGTGTTGAATTTGTGGCCTTGATTTAAGTCTATAAACTTAGTCATGTAGTAATGTTTTGCAGGTCAGCAAATCAATTCAGTGGGATGTCATCCGTCCAGATGTCCTTGGGCAGAGCACTTCATCCTCTTATGCCAGAATTAGTTGCTTTGTTGTAATCATGCAGCCACTCACACCAAATGTCAACAGGACATTTGAATCATATACCTCACTGGAGTTTTAGCCAAACTTTGTTGGCTGGCCAAGCAGGGGTAATAATGATACAAGACTTGATGAGCATCATGTTGGTGGGAAACATGCACATTGTTTTTGTGGTCTGTGACCGCAATGAGATCAACATGACTCAAGGAGAGAAAAAGCTTTGTATAGTTCCAAGAAAATTGTTTTAGTTTTTAGAAAAAATGGCATCCATCCATTTACTCCACTTCTCAATTTAGGGGCAACGTAGGTCATAATCAAACTTAGTTAATTAAACTGATTAATCTGGGAATCATGAAAAGCAGTTGATTGTTGAAGAGTTTCAAAGGGCGGGGCTCAGTGATGGTCCTCAAAGGTGGGATTTACATGTCATTAAGTGACAGACTTTTCTTGCACACATGGTTATTTCAAAGTCTATGGGCCTAACAAAAGCTTTTGTGCAATGGCATGATTGGCTGAACTGATATACGCTCAGTCCAGGGAGTGTTGAATGGGAGGGGCGGGCTAAACCAAAAAAGTAGGAGGCAAGGGCGAAGGTTATTTTGAGGGGCTATTTGGATTACGATGTGCGCACTTTTTGCAGAGGCAATTATTTCGTTCAAATTTTTGAAATAAAAACGTAGAGTCAAATGAGAGGCAAAGATGCTGCATTTTTTTCCCCTTCAAATACACACTGGAGACAGAGAACGTTTTCGTTTCTCTAACAAGATTGGCCTCAATGTTTTTCAGGGTCAAGAAACTATCAATCTCGGTAATATCACCAATAGACCGGCCTTCTCGGGGTTGCAGTGTGCTAGTGGCTACATGGAGACCAGCTGGGATTCAAACAGAAAATATGCCAAGGTATTCAGAGTTTGTAGAGGCACTCTTGAGCAAGTTCTTTAGTTTTTTAACCCGCCTATGCTGAAGTCACTCTTTGGGTCACTTGGTAAACACCTCAAAGAAGCACAGCTGTGTTGTGTTGTGCAAGAGAGTGACATGCAAGAGAGTGACCTTGGGCACTTTTGCATATTTGTGCTGTAAAAAAACCAAAGGAGGGTTAATGATGGCTCTATGTGCATGCTATCTCAAATCTGCTGTCTTTATTTACGTAGGAGTGGTTGAGAAAAATGCCACCACCGTATTTCTTGAGGGAAGATGCTTATGTCCGCCATCCCTTTGCGGAAGACAGGGAACCCTCCATTACTGGTTTTCTTGGGGTGCCAGGGACTGGAGTGGCTCCACATCTTGACGAGACATGCGACACAATAATGACAGCCCAGGTAATCAGACGGTAGACAACCAATAAGTAACAGGTCTAGACTTGTAATTCTCGTGGTTCATAAGGCTGTGTCACAAAGTGACAGTTGTGACCAGAAATAAAATGTGCACCTGTGGAAGCCTGTGGCTCACATCATCCCATAAACACAGGTTTCTCACAGTTACAACCAGTTGATTTGGGCACAGCCTCTAGCTTTGGTGCATGCGTCCCTGAGCAAGGGGCTTTGCCATGATTCCATTTTTACCAGTTACTAGGAGGCTAGGAGTATACTTGTCAGATCAGGAGATCTGCCTACGTGTAATTCACAGCCTTATTTGGGCACTTGTGTTCCTGAGCTAGGCACTTGGCCATCTTTGGTTTTACCCATTTGGAGTATATGTACCCATCAGATCAAACCCTGTGATAAGCTGCATGCATAGCCTCATTAGTGTCCAACTGTTGATATGTGGGACCTGTATGTGCTTACACTTCCAATAGCCACACTATTGTAGCCGATACCTCTTGAGTGGTAAGACCATCACAAGACCATCACCAGACCAGCACAAGACCTCCACGCTGAATTCAAGTCACAAGTCATTCAAATGAACTGCGAAACATCACCCCTTTGTCACTGTTCACCCTGTAAATTGTCTTGCAAATGGTCTTGTATCTGATGTTGTGATGTTCATGACTGCAACCCTTAATGGTCAGTTGTGGGCAATGACATATATTTCACTGAAAGCAAACATGCACCCTGAGAAAAATCAGTTCTAAAACATCAGAGCAAAGCCCAACCATTTCAACCTTGGATAAATTATCAAGATTTTCAGTTTTTTTTCCTGTGTTTTCCAGCTTGCAGGAGTAAAAAACTGGAGTGTCTCCTGGCCGGTAAAAGATGGTGAGAGAATTCGATGGGGAAAACCAATAGTGTTCACCCTGTATCCAGGTAAGTGTCAGTGGACTGTCAAGAAGACAGTGTTTTTACTCTGCAGTGTGTGCCTCAATGGCTCTTGCTTCAACTAACCTGTCCATTTGAATTAAAAGCCATTACTATAGTGGCACCATGCTCATGCACAGGTGATAAGCGCACCTTACATTCCTCTTTGACTAATGAGGTGCCTTGATTTGTTAGTGCAGTGCTGACGTAGTTACATCTTCTGGGATTAGTTGTGTTTTCCTGTCTTGGCTCCTGCAGTGTTACTGGGCTAAAATGGTCTCACGTAAAAACTTGTGCATTGTTTCACAAAGGCGCCATGATGTGGGAGATATGTGGGGCATAGTTGCACAGCAAGAGAGCATTTCTATCGCCTCACAGTCTGTAGTGACCAGCTGGAAATCTAAGATAACTTTGCAAAGACTTTATTGTAAATGAAATGAATAGATTTGTTTTTTCATTTTTTTTTCTGGGATTGATTCTCTAGAGTGCTCACGGCACCCTTATCCCTTGGGCATGTTGGGTCAGGCCTGGTCGCCATACATCCCTCAGGTGTTAAAAATATCCATTGCGGCTGACAAAAAGTGTTAAATGTGGTTTATCCTGTATGCTTTAAGGTGAAGCAATGTTCTGGTATGTTGCGATGCGTCATCACACCGAAGTCATCGAGGACTGCTCGCTCAGCTTCAGCTTTCTGCTCAAGTCACCCGCCCCCACTGAATACTTTCAGAGACTAGTGGAGGATCTGTCCTCAGTCCCCAAAATGGAACAGGATGCACTGTTCAAAGAGACGGAAACGGCCAAACTGGATTACGTCGACACCTGTGGAATTCTCACCGATGATGGGAGGACATTTATTGCATGAGGCCAAATGGGGTAATTGACAGGGGAGGGGCATGGTGGAACCCACAGCTGCAGGCCTGTGCCTACCCCCCTTGTCCCACCCTCCTCCCCATTTTTCTAAAATGTTTTGGGCCAATTTTGCCTTTAGATGCCATGGGAGGCTGGAATGAAACTCTTGCTTAGGGAAGTCATCACAATCACTTAGAGATGAGATACTTATATATTTGGTCATGATGCATTTATTTAAACAGCAGCTGTCTGAACATCATGGGTTATATTGTTATGAGCGACTTGTTTTAAACAACCCAATTTTAAACACTGTTCTTTCTTTGAAGAGGACAGGTCCTGCCCCTACCTTGTACCCCCCATAAATTCCCTTCTTGCACCTATAAAACCAGGGACACCCTTCACACAAAAATACATTGCTTTGACTGCAAACTTTGCAATATTGAAATTTTATTTCCTTCAGATGGCGTATACTTGACACTGCTAACCTATATTAAAAGCAGTCTTTCCCAATCACCAGTTTGCTTTAAGCTCCTAGTGGTTCAAGTCAAAACAAAACAAATACATCATGAAATCTGAATAATGAAAGTGCAGGTCCACCAATAATTTCTCATTTGAAGTGAAAAAAATATATGACCTGTTGCTTTATCAGAAACTTGAACAGGCTTAAATTATGACAGTAACCCTTGTATTATTATTTCTTAACCAGGCTTGATTGCCTCATCAAAAAAAGAACCTTGCTAGTATCCCAATGCTGCTGATAATTCAGTGACCGGAGGTGTCCGTCACGAGCTTGATTTCACTTGTACACATTTTCTAATAGATTAGGACTACTCCATCTAAACCATGTTATGTTCAAATCTTCCACCCACCTGAGAAGAAATCAGCGTTCCTCAAAAAAAATTTCAGCTTCAAAGGATATGGAAGTATAATTAATTAAACAATAAATTGCTTGTGTGTGCTATATTGAGGCTATTAATCTCAGGCCATATTTGTTGGCAAACAGAAGATATGTGACAGTTCTTCTTCAAAACCGTTACCATGGGATACGGGGCCGCCAATAGGTCTGTGTCGGGTACTGGTTGTCTACCATCGAGGGGGCCTCCGTGGTAACAGGAACATCGACCTCGTAGGTCAGTTCAATGCCTCCATCGTCGACCTTCTGGGGGCCCAGCAGCAATTCCTTCACCCAATCGACCAAATTTGTCCACTGCCATGTCCCTGGGGGCTTGGTACTAGGGGTGACCAGGCCCTTGCAGATCGCCGGCACGTCAAAGACGGACATGTTCTTGATGCCAGACGTCAGGTCGAAGAAGCGGGTAGTGTAGGCAATGGAAACAGTGTCGTTGGTGAAAGTGAAGATGTCAAACACAGGCCAGCAGCCCTTTTCAGTGAAACCGCCAATCCAGGATTCTCCTGAAGGCAGATATTTTGTAAAATAAAAGTATGTCATGAGAGCTGCAATATGGTACAGTAATTAGACCATTGCTCTCTTGTTTAATGTTAGGCCAGTCAGCCAGATAGGCCAATACCCTCCAGCCAGATGGTTTAGGTGATGTATCACCTGAGATGCCAAACTGAGTTAAGTGGAGGGTACCATTTGCATATTATATGATAAGCTTTGCATTCTTGGGGATGTGTTGCTGACCTCCACTGTATTAGTGTTTCTATAGCCTAGCATGGGGTATTCATAAAGGTGAACACTTGAGTGATTTGGAAGATGCAATAGAGCGAGAGTGAATCCAAAACTAGTGGTTAAATGGAATATTTATTGCCTCTTGCAACAAGGCAACATTTACCAACTCTTAAATTTATTTCTAATCACTTATTAAAAGTTTAAAGTTGTAGCTTTTCTGTGACCTAAGATTTAATGTGTGCACATCTGAGTTGAAGGCCCCTATAACTGTTCAAACAGAAATGATATGTGCCTGATGGTTGCCAATGCTGGAAGGCTATCCTCGTGAAATATGGCTCTGAATGAACAGAAACCAAATTTAACATTTTGTGGGTAGAGTGCGCATTTCTGAGCATAATGATACTCTGTCTCCTGTGTAGTTGAAAGTTCCAGCAGGCAAAAATTGCAAACCAGGATTGACAGTAAGACCCTATTTCATGCGCATAACAGTAACTGTGTCCTTGTAATTCACTTATGTCCCACACTCACACACAAAGCAGTAACTTTCAATAAGAAGCACAAATTCATTCAGCAAGTATAAATTAACTAAAAAAGTTAATGGCAACTTACTGTGTCTTGCAGGCTGGCGGTCAGACCATTCGGTTACATTCAAGTTGCCCTCTGGTCCTCCAATCAGGTAGTTGTCCTCGAATAAGGCCGAGGGTGGGATGCTGAAGTTACGCCAAGGCTCCATTGGGATCTTGGTGCAGACATTATATGTTGGGTCGATTTTGTACGTGACCTGCTCATCAAACAGTATCAGGAACTTGAACAGCCTGTTAATTAATGAGAAAGGGAGTGGGGTATTGGAGGAGAGACAGGCAGGTACAATATGGGCTTGATAATGCTAGCTCCACATCTGACCAAGAGCCCACAATTTTTCCATCTAACTGCAGCCCTGAGTCTGAATGGCCTTTGCTACCTTGGGAGGCCTACATTATAAATTAAAATTGACTAATTAAGAGCCTACATAATCTTAACAGTTGGCAGCTAACAAAAAACTGATTTGACGTGATTCATTTCCAATCATTTCAATTAAGATAGCATATATCCAGATACTGCAATGCAATAAAGTGATTAACAGTGGAGGCTGACCGAAAGCCGTCGCTGGTAGCTTAAGTGTTCAGTTTTCACTTGCAGTCATTAATAAGCTTACCTAACTTGAATTTCCAGTGATCCAGTAAAAAAACGTAAATAAATTAGCCGAACATTCCGTTGTGCCAATAATGGTCATGCACAGGTTTACCCAATGTCTACTGAACCAGCTTACAGTCCAAAAAACGTTTGCCAACCTTTCCACTAAACCATCAAAAGGTCACAACCTAATCAGCCTAGCTTTGAGCCACTTACTCGCCATGAAAACTTTGCCATACTTTTCACTTAGCCAGCAAACAGTGAGTATAAACTGTGCCACCTGATGTCATGAAACATTTGCCTAATTAATTAGTAGTCCTGGAGAAATTTGCCTAACTTTCCAGGAGCTCGCAGGGCAGGAGCGGGCAGGAATTATTTGCCTAACTTTCCACTGAGCCAGCTCAAATTTGTGCAAAATCGAATAAGATCTAGCCAGTCAGCTCAAGTTTGCAGCAGTAACTTGGTGTGATGACAGAAGAAAGGGGACAGTAGTACAACAGAAGAGATCTAATGCTGGTATAAATCACCTGATTTTTGATGGAATTTTATATATTTGATATTTCCCCGTGTTTTGTAAACGTTTTTCAGCACCCACACACCATGAGCGAATAGTGACACCGTTACACCCCAACTCTATCACTGGGCATGCCCGACTTCATTGACACAGTTTAGCGTGCCAAATTTGGGTTTTTAAGAAAAAGTTTGAGAGAAAGGGGGCATGGGTAACCGATAGGTATCTGGAAACTGATCATTTCCAAGCAGAAATAAGCAAAGAGGGGCAATATCAGTGGAATGCAGTGATGTCAGTTATATACAAAACAGCAATACGAGCATTTCACAAAAATGCGCCTCCAAGAGTATGCAATGCACTGGCCAATCATCACGTGAGAAATTAGCTGACCCAATGTGCATTTGGAAAGGGTCAACAGATTTTGCGCATTGTGATTGGCCAACATGTTGCAAACTCTTGGAGGTGCACTGTTGTGAATTGCCTGTATTGAGTTACCCTTACCCTTCAAACCTTCAAAAAACTAGGTAAGAACTGAGTGGTTTGAAGCACCACTATCTTGTATATTTAAAGGTCTCTCTCTTATCAGTATGTGCGGCTCCAAAAAGAGTAACCTGGCACCTTTTGGAGCCAGATTTGCTACATGCAGGGGTGGGAGTGGCCATTTACATTAAAGCCAAAAATAGCTAGCAAACAGCTGACATGTAAAAAGTACCCATACTTTTGTACAGACCAGGTGTACAAAATAGCTGAAATTCAGGTCAACATCTAAACATAAAAAGCTGAAATCAGCTAAAAAGATGAATTCTCACACCGCTGTACATGGGGTTGTACTGCAAACCACTTTCCTTGAGTATATCTACCATGCAAACCTTCGAAACTTTCTTTTTAAATGGTTACAGCCCAATTGCAATTTTATTTGCAATTTTATTTAACAATACTTTTGCAATTTGTTCACTACATTCTTTTTATTTAATTCTCTAGGCATTTCCAATTGTCAACAAAGTTGGGCGCACTTCAACTGTGTCAAGGACACAGTTGGGAATGTAATACTAAAGTTTGCAATTGGAATGTGACAGCATCATAGGTTTAACTGACAAATGGATGTGATCAACAGGGATATGGTGATGTGGATATGTACATTTATCTACAAACAAACCCCAGTCCTTGATTCTGATTGATTAGAGCACAGTAACAGATCATGCAATATACCAGTCTAAACCATGCCATAACATGATGTCTCCTGAAGACGGACAGAGTACACTGTTCGAAATGTCGAGTTATTCCCCGGTTCTTCTCAGAACAACACATACTCAAAGAAGAGATAAGTACATGGTGTTACCGCAATTTTTTCTATAAATCTATGTCATAAAATGCTAATCCAAGGGAAATTATGTCAAGCTATTGAGCTGAAATCCACTATTCATTCAAATTGCTTGAAAATTTATAAACCAATTTGCATTCCAGGAACTTGACATGGCAAAATGTAGTTCATGACACATTATGTTGAACACACATATGTGGACAATTATTGAAAATGTACAATAATCATCTTACTGACCTATTAAAACACATCTTGGAAAGAGTTCCATACTCGGACATCGCTTGACACCCAATGCACAAGCCCTATAAGACCGGTCTTCAAAGTGAATGCTTCAGTATTTTCCCAGCTAAATTTGACTTTTTAGGATGTAATCATTTTCTGATGGCTGGTAAACGACTACAACGGAAAATTAGCGACGTCTTATTGGTCTTCATTTTTCCTGGAAACAGAGCTATAGGCACATTTCCCGACTTAGCTTTCTCGGTGGATAGTTAGGCATTACATCACCTGACCATTTGCACGCTCAATGAAAAGTTAGGCAGATAAAAAAACGCGGCTCAGAAGAAAGTTGGGCAAGGCTTCCTATGGTACAATTGACTTCAACACCTGGAAAGCACCTCTCGACCTCTAATTAAATTATAAACAGGCTCAACAGGCAGTTGACAAATCCCAACAATTTGGGAATAGAAATTCAAGAAAACTCTCAAAACGTATAAATAAGCAGAAAAGTATCAAATTACCTCCTTCCAGGTCTCATTGATTTAAGCTCTTCTTCGATCCACTTGCGCCTCTTAACTCCGTCAAAACTGATGGTGTAGCGGTTGTTAGTGCCTGCGTTGTGGTTCCACTCGCTGTAACGACCTTCCCATAGTAGGGGCGTTTTGCACGGGGTGGGAGTGGGAGGATCGATAGCGGCGTTCATCAGACCATTTGCTCGAAGCACGGGCACGATCCCGGCACTAGCCGAGTAGCACAGGTACAAACAGACCTGGACAATTAACAGCAAGGACCCCTTCATGTTGAGCAATGTCGATGCCAGATCTTGACCAGCGGCCGGGCAACTCCAAACTGCAGTCTTGCTGGCGCGGCAGGTTCTGTCTGAAGGCCTGGCAACAACTGATACGAGCAAGGACTGATGTCAAAGTTACAGAATGTTTGCTTAGCTTGGCTTAATCGCATGTCACGTAGCACCAACTGACACTGCGACCGCAACGACAAAACAAAGCTACCACAAAGCGAGATTTTGCAACATTTCCCAGGCCCCAGCCCGCCAGAAACAACAAGGTAGTGTTTCGCACTTTAAACCCAGGGCCATGAAAAAACAAGTCTCAGAACTGGACAGTAGAGTTAGGGTAATGAAAAACTGTCAATCATCCCACAGTTTCAAGGATTTGGTGGCGTGACCGTCCGCACTGAATGCAATTATGAAAGAACAATGAAAGGAAGTGACGTTTTCGAAAGCAGGCACTTACGTAGGTCCGATCAAACAGTCTACTTTCCTTAGGTAGTGTAAAACAAAACGAGGAAGCAACAGTGAAAGTGTGTCTCTTTCAGCTTTTGTAAGTTCACGGTGTCATTTTGGCAGGATACCCAAGCGGGAGAATAGAGCTAGGGAGTGCTAGTTGGCTATGAAACCGCTTAGAGTCAGTTTTTCATTTCTTCTGTAAAAAATGTGACCAAACTTGCTGCGCAGGTGGCAACACAAGACTATCTAAGTTATTACGTAAGAGCCCATTCAACTGGCTGACGTTCGCCATTATGTAGGCCTATTCCCCTACATTTTTATTTGGGATCTGGAAGAGAACGGGGGGGGGCAGTACATCTCCAACACTTTAAGAAGCGTGTGGGGGGCATGCCCCCAGTTCCCCACCAATCGATGCTCATGCCTGTTACGACCAACAAAATGACCAAAATTAATGAGGATGAGTGTGATTTTCAAACACACAAACAAGATACTTTTATTTGAACTTTTCTCCAATAGAATCAGTTGGGCTTTGTACACATTTACAAACTGACGAGGTACTCACGTGCACTTACGTGGTTTTTGTTTTTAAATTAGTGAACATTTATAGAAGTTATTATTAGCAACAATTTAGAAAAAAAATCATGAACTCAAATTTGGAATGGAATAGTGGCATACCTATTGCACACATACGTAACAATACCTACCGGCTGCATGAACCAGACTGACATTGGGCATGATTCCAAAGAAATCTTTCAAATCAAAATCTGTCCTCTACACAAGGATTAAATCTTTCCTTTTTCCCATAAGTGAAATGTTCAGTGCTGGAACACAAAAGCGGCAAGTTTTAAACACAGTATGAGTTAAATGCCTAAAGCAAGCCTGGTCTATGCCCTTAGCCCATGGTCCAACATATACTTTACCCCAGGCTAAGGGAATTGGGTACTATTCCATAAATACTGATTTGGAAATACAACCTTTTTTTTGTACAATTCCCTTATATGTCTTCAGGATAATAGCAATAATTACACAGCCATCTTAGTTGGGTACTGTGACTGCCAATCACAATCTGATTACATGTAAATATGTCAGAGGTATCAGTCCAAGAGAGACTGGCCAAGCTGACACTTGGCATTAGAACTTAGCGGAATGAAAGTCAGGTTAGCATGAACAACAAAGATGGATGGTAGCTTCGTAATTGGTCAGCAATACGACCTTCTCAAAGTTCTGCTTTTTCAATACTGTGGCTTCTCTGAAGCATATCAAGGTTTTCTTATGCTAAAACAAAAGGAAAAGACTATTTTTGGCTTTTATGTTGTACATGTATCCACTTTGATAATCTTGTGAAAGCAAGATTTTTACCAGGCCAGAATGTCTGTAATCAGTGAGCCAAAAATCAGATGCCAAACTATGGAGATAAAGCAGAAATTTGAAAAGAAGCCATTGAAAAAAATCAAGGAATAAAGAATTAAAACTCGGGCTGATTTTTTCAGTAAAGAAAATGAACACACAGTGGTGTTAAGATCGATGTCTATTTACATTTTATGAAGTTTCACAGTTGGGACTATGTTATTCTAACCAGTGTACTTTCAAGTGTGTTGATTTGTCAAGTCTTAAATTGATGAAACAGTGCAATAAGTAACTCATCAAGTGCACTGCTGAGAGATAACAAAGTTCACTTGGTATTCTTGATGCAAACTACATGTATATCCTAGACAAAGGAGTATCAACCTCACATGTGTGTCACAGTGTTATGCAGCACTAGCAGGGTTATAAGCGAGCACAGAGAAATATGATCACATTGCCCACTGCATGTGATATTAAAATTCTGCATTGAGGGCAGAACTTCCATCCCTGAAATGTTTTCTTCCCTGCCAAGAACTCACTGGTTGAAACACCTGGGCAGATGGCACAGCCAGGACTTGAGGAGAGAGGTGTCCATAAATCAAAAATGATAAAGGAAAAACAAATAAGCCAAAATGAAAATAAACTAATGGCAAAGAATCAAAGACCAGCTTCGAAAAATATACACATAGTCCTTACATTGAAACAATTTGGTTTAGTCATTGTAGGTAAAAAAGAAAATCACACAAAGGAAAATTCTAAAAGAAAAACTATTGTAAGAATATAAGACCTGAAGATTGTGTCTGTTAAAAATAAAGCTTACTGATTAAAGACGAAAACTGTGCTGGATCTGAATTTCTTGAAAACTCCTGCTCTCAATTAAATTGACATGAATACTTCAAACTTTACTACAATCTTACGATTTCCTCCTTTCACGCACCCAATAAACCAATGTGTACCTTTCCAAGAAAAAAAAATCTGAAGAAAGACTTTACAATCTGAGAAGGTTGAAGAATCAGATTAACTCATGAATCCTTTCAAATATATATGCAGTATTAGTGAATAGAAATTCATGTATTTGAAAGACAACTTTGTACAAGTACTATATATTGTATAACTTGATACTTTGAGTTCAGTGATTAAAAGTTACGTATTTTGACTCAGGGGCTGAACTGCTTGAAGTCACAGTACATTTTAGTTTTGAAAAAATACATGGTTATAGAAGTTTGTAAAAGAATTTTGGCCATGGCTTTCAGAAAAATCTTAAGACAGTAACTTTTTAAATAAGACCTCACACTCTCCAGTTTGGTTAAATTCAAGCCTCGCTTATTTCTTATCTCCATCAAGATGGTAAGGTTCATGATGTTGGTCAAATCACAGAGGAAAAGTTACCCTCAAAAAGCTTCAAATAACTGTGTTCTTTCCTTTCCAAACTTAGAATACACCTACGTTCAATCAGTACCCAACTGAGAGTCGTCAATTATTCTACAAGATATCAGCTATGCCAAACAACACAAACATATTAACAAGCTACAAGTACCGTAGGCATAAAACCTGAGATTTAAGAATTGCCTGCCTCCTGGGTAAAATTTCCCATGCATAATTTTTTTTTTCAACATGATGCTGTTGACTGCAGTAACCATCGCAACAAAGACTTGATCACAGAAGTTCCAAATAAACATGGCATACAATTCATCAACACCTGACAGTAAATGAGGACTGTTACTCAAGTCTAAGCGCTGGCCTAGCAGATGTCTGATATCTTATACAAGAGAATTTGTGAGAAAACGGTGATCCTCAAAGAGAGTTTCTGTAAGTGCCACTCTAAAAAATAACAGATTTTGTTTACTAGTACACACTACTATATATTCTAGGTTCATCTCTGTATGCGACAGTATATACATCTTAAAATACTACTATACAATATAGACATGTACTCATATGTGAGTTCCAATGGAGGGAAATACACTGCAGATATTCAAATGATTAACGAAATTACAAAATCTTGATATCTGTGGCTATTCAATTGATTGGGAGATATTGTTTTCAGACATTTTACCTCGAATTATCAAAATATCATTTAAAAGGGAACATAGTATTTACAGTGAGTGCGATGTTTCAGAGAGGATGTAGCGAGTCAGAAACAAGCACCGCAGCAATGCTATTGAAATGAGGTGGTAAAAACGACTTCACATGTTTCAATTATGGAGTGAGACAAGTTCACACTAGAGTCTACACTGGAAAAATGCAGATTTCCCCCATGACACCAAAGTTGGGGCATTACTTTTCATGGTGACGGCATCCGTTTTAGAATAATGGCAGTGATACAGGATACTGTCACAGTACGGGGAAGAATTGTTATCATCGTCAGTCATGCAGTGGTAATACATTTTTTTAAAAAGTCCAACTCCTAGATTTGAACCCACACTAATCAAGACCTCAAAAAGTACATTTTAATCTACCCACATTCAACTTGGGGTTACATCAAACAAATCCTAACCCCCTGGCTATGTGGAATGAGCTCTCTCTTCTGTCAAGATTCCCCCAGGTTAAAGTTTCTGGAATGACTTCTGTTGACAAATTCTTACAGAAAATCTACTGTGGACAGTGGACAAGGCTAAAACTCACTGTGAGCCACTGCAGCCTTCCCTTGATGGATCCAAGGATATTAAGCCTCAACTTTCAACTGGAGTGGCCAATGAGCCGACTGGACAGAATTTCTTTAATTACTCTGACTTCTCATAAGCTACATCCACATTACGAAGAATACCTGAAAAAACGGAAGGGAAATCTCACTTCGAACCTCCGCAAAAATACAATCCCCAGTTCTGGTATTTATTTTGTAAAACACCTTTTCCGTTCTACGGTGCAAGTTCTGCATCTAGACTTCACTACACAGGACTGGCAATGTCACTGTTGACCTAAAGTTCTGTAGTCAAGACACCCTCCAAGACTACATTTAGCCAATTAAGTCCTTTTTCTGCCAAGTTTCGGAGGGCATCTGACAAAGTTTCACAAGATGCAGGCCAAGAAAGTTGGCACTTCCATCCTACTCATTAAATGTTTCAGTTTGTGCATTCATAAGCAGAGGCTCACAGCAGGGTGCTTGGTCACATTCTTGAGTCAACTCCTCTACACAGACGGCCTTTATAACCTGGGCTGAAGCACAGCCACCAGTTGGCCTATGTTACCAGGTTTCTTCAACGTCTAGTGTTGCCCTGGAGTGACCTTTGGCCCCTTGAGGTAAGTCCTCCCCATCACTGCAATCGGAGGAATCAGTGTCCGAGCCATGGTCCTCAGACTTAATTCAATAGAGAAAGGAGACATGGAAAAAAATCGTGAGCATGAAATAATGATGATTGGGCTATTTGCTACAAATTGAGGTGGTAGAAAACAGCATATATTGCACATGAAGTAAATATCTATTCAATTTATATCGTAACAAAGGTGAACCACTTCATTTCCATATGCACAACTCTAAAGCCGTCTATTTCACAAGCAGTCTTCCACGAACAAGATTCCTGCAGGAAATACTGCAAATTCCACAATTATGAAAAGAGTCATATCTGTCAGGATGGACTCACCTCAAACATCATCTCCCTGGAGATCTGCTTCATGACCTTCTTGACCTCTCGCTCCTTGTCTGACAAGCCGTCCGACACCACGGCCACGTCAGGGGCTATGCTCAGGACCTCGCTGGTCTTGGTCCGCAGCCGGCCCTCCGGCAGGTCCAGATGCCTGGACAGCTCACTGGTATTGCCATCATCTGAGAAATTAGGGTCTGAACTGCAGGCCAGGTAGGACTGCCGGCTGCTCATTTGGTTTCTGCAAAAACAAAATGTCAAAACACAACTTCACAGTTGAATCACTAGGTCCATGAGAAGAGAGAGTCTGGCGATCTCAAACCCACCTGGGCTCTGCAGTTACAATCAAGTAATACAAAATGCCATTTTTCAGTGAAGAACTGTTGCACAGCTTCATGTAAATCATGTAAAGAATGAAATGAACCAGAACTCTGTTTGGAGTTGCAAATGAACACCTAGCTGGGAGTATATCCTCACCCCAACTGTTGCTTTCTGAATTTCATTTTTTGGGGCCAGCCAGGAAGACAGGCTTAAGCAAAAAGCTTATCAGTAAGACTCCAAATGGAGTTGGCTCGAGGGTGCATCAGACAACAATGACAGCATCAGAGGACAGCTGTAATCTTGGGAATTTTTGGAATGCCTGACAGTTTTTCCCAGGTGAAATGATACTGAATATTCACAGAATAAACACAAGTACAGTAGTGTCTAAGGCTCTACCATTCTCTGAAGAGACTTCAACTTTACCCAAAGTTTTCAAGTTGTTTAAGCGCACAAATGAAACAAAAATTTTTGGCATCTCATATTTGAGAATTCATGCCATATGTACGGGCATTTGGGCAGGCAAAATGCTGATCAGGAATCTAGTTTTGGGTTCGGAAGCTGACTTCTTCTCATTACCTGTCTGACTGGGTTGTCTGCTCCTCATCGGAGGAATGACTGACGACGATTTGCTCATCACTAGAGTAACCATGGGAACCCTGAAACAAAATAACACAGAAGAAAATTAATGGAACACTTACAAACACAAATGTAAGGAATGCATTCTATCCTTCTGCAACTGATTGAAATGGATTTTTGTGGCACATTCGAAACAGGTGAAATGTTTCAATCAAAGAGACAAAGAACTAGAAGGTAACAAAAAGCAACAAACTGGTTCAACTATAAGTCAACATTGCTGAGACAACAGACAGACACTTATTTGGTAACATTAACACCCACATATCCTTCAGTAGCCAGTTATCTTTTGCTCAATGTCTAGGTGGTCAGAATTAGTTACACACTTTGGTTGTCACAGATCCTCTGCAATTCAGGTAGATGAAAATCATCAGACTGAGTATTCCTGTTAACAATTTCTCCTGGCCATTTCCAAAATTGAGCCCTCACCTTTGTTATATCAATGTTGACGTCACCATTGGTTCTTGTTTTGGCCCCACTCCTCATCTGAGGAGATGTCGCTCGCTTCCCCACTCTGACGGCACCTCCCGGGGACCTCCTCAACGGGCTGGCCCTCTGAATTGCCAGTCTCTCCCCGACGTAGCTGTTTGGAAGAACATTGTCATCATCACCGGTGCCTTTGTCACAGTTTGTCGTGGGGGAGGTGTTACTGTTTACCTCATCGCTATCACTGCCGTGCGATGTTGATGTCACAGCGTGGTCAGGGATGTACTGACATGCCCTCCCCGGCCGGTGCCTTGAGGAGCGGTTGGGACACTTTCCTTTGCACACACACGATGAGCACTTCCCTTTGCTTGAGCACAGGCATGAGTTCCTGCTCCTTGGGTTGGAGTTGAGTTCTGGTTGCCTGATTGCCGCATAGGGCCCAAAGTACTTGAAATTCTCGCAGTTTGTCCTTTCCAGGTCCGAGGCCCTCTCCGCATCTGAGCGGTTGAAATGGTCACTCTCCGTCTGTCCAATGTCCCTCGGGGACACTGCGCCAGCCCCTGACACGTGTAAGTCCGAAAGGGGAACCTCCTTCCCCGGGCTGACCCCGCCCTTACCAAAGCTCCCCTTGGGGCTGACCCCCCCTTTGCCAAAGCTTCCACGCCCATGGCTGTTATTGCGCCGGTGCCTGGTCTTGCGCTGAACGCGGATTCTGCTGGGGGAGGTCTTGGAAGATGTGGGTGGGGTCCTAGGTGAGAGCGTGGGGGAGGAGGGATCTGTCTCAGGTGTAGTTGTTGCATCAGTGGGAGGGCTTATTGTCCTGTCAGTCAAACAATACACAAGTTAATATTTCACATTCACCAGACATGGAATGCACAATCCAACACTCAATAGTTCAACTCATCCAAACCCTTCTGTTCACATTTTAAGTAAACGTCTGAAAAAACATGAAATATATAAACTATTTCCTGTGCAAAGGGTGTGGTAATACACAAAGCCAACACCTTAACTATTCATTCCCACATCCTCCTTGATCCAGTCTATAATCACATTGATTTTACAGTCCAAATATACATAATGTTCTGTGTGTATTTGGATCAGAAATGAGCATCTGAAATGGCGCTACCTGTTAAGGGTGGAGGTAGAGTTGCTCTGGTGACTGGCTAAGGATTTCTTGATGAGTTTCTCCATGGCCTGGGTCTGGGCCTTCAGGATGGGCTTGATGGTCCGCTGCTGTTTCTTCTTGGTCAGACTGGTGGCCAGCTGCTGCTCTTTCCTGCCAAGCCCATGCAAAGGAGAGAAACACAAAAAGCTACATGAACAATACACACACAGACTGCCAGGAATCAAAACGGAGCCAGGTTGGACTAGGTTACACCGGGTTCAATGTATGAGGTTCGTGAAATATAAGCTGGTAACAGGGTCTCTGAGGCATGTGACCCTGTGGTCAGGGTTGTGACCTGGTGGTTAGGCTTAGTTTCCAATTGGTTAGAGTTTCTGGCTCCTAAACATCAGGTCAGAGATTGGAATTCAGCAGCTGGTTAAATACTTCAGTCTTCAGCAAGTCATTTCACCCTTGTGTGTCTCTCTCCTCCCAAGGAGTGCATAGGTACATGTACTTCTAAGGGTAAAAAGATGGTTATCATGTTCAGCTGTTTGTGATCACACGGCAGTGCAGAGCTGTATGCTCCCCTGAGAGCTGGGATGGTTTCGCATTGTTTACATGTTCCGATGAGCAGGGATAATGATAATACATCTGTACCTTTGAATAAAAGATTGTTAAACAATATGCACCTTATAAATGCGCCTTGTAAATGTTATTATAATACGTGCATTTCACGAAAGTGTGCCTCCAAGAGTTTGTAATGCATTGACCAATCACAGTGCGTGAAATCTGTCGACCCAATACGTGTTTGGAAAGGGTTGACAGATTTTGTGCACTGTGATTGGTCAATGTGTTGCAAACTCTTGCAGGCGCAATATAGTGAATCGCCCGTACTGAACCTGACAAACTAAACTTATCATGCATTATTTGGGGTAAGCTCTAAAATTGGGGACTTGAAAAATGTGCAACATTGCAATAAATAAATCATCTACTTTACTTTCAACAAAAAATAACAATCATCAATATTTGACTTGTTCTTGATGACCAAAAAATACTGAATCCATGTGCATGTAAAGGCTTCTTTCTGTAGCAAGCAAGCCGTGGTATTGTAAACTTGGAAGGTCAGGAAGGAATATCCAGAGCCACTGAAATCTGGAAAATGCAATGCGCACCTGTTGAGCTCTTTCTCCCTCTGTTCAAGCTGTAGCAGGCAGCTGCTCAGCTCCATGTACAGGTTGTTGGCTCGCTCCAGCTTCCTCTCGTAGTGCTCCCGGATGTCTTGGGCATGCCTGGGAGAGAAAGGGGAAAACAAGGATGATTTTAGTGGAATCCCAAAATGACTTGGGGGAAACTGTGCGCATCAGTCACAAAATCTTCCCCTATTGCACAATGTTCTTGGATTTTTTTCTTTTGATATGTTTAAAGAATGAGTGGTGTATTTTATTGGTTTTTTTAAGCTGTACGGTCTCTTCCTGATTTAATTTCTTTCACAATTTGCTATGTCGGAATCTGCTACAATTACTACACTTTATAAAATGCTTACAAAGAAAAAAGAAAATAAATGCTGTGAACTAAAATTCTATTTTTGTATATACTAATTTAATATATGTTGTGTTACCGGTACGTATCTTCAGGTATGGGGGGTTGCTTTAGTTGAACATCTGACTTGGCATTTCACAGATTTGTAAAGCAATTTTTAATCCTTCTAATCCTTGCTAAGCTGCTTGTTTGTTAAAACACTTTTCATGTAAAACAAGGGCTTATTAATATGAATTGCTAGAGAAACAGAATGAATCTAAACAAAACATAAAAAGCAGCCATGAAAACAAATATCTGATACTCTGTTGGGGAAAAATATGACTTTTCCACTTCCGCATCTTAAATTGTGTACATGTCACTTGTCTATATGACCTTCTCCACAAACTGGCCAGGAAGACTCAGGTTTTGCTCTTGTGACTTGACGCCAAGGATGACTGGGCCTAAGGCCTACCTGAGCTCTGCCTGGCGTCGTTTAATCAGCTCCTCATCCATGCGATGGATTTGGGATCCTTCGCTCTTCATTTTCTCAAACTGGAGCTTGATTTCCTCCCTCCAGTCCACCTGGGTAAGAAAGACGCCAACAACAATCCATAGGATCATCCAAATCGCACAGGTAGATCAAAATTATTAGCTACATGAATGGAGATACAACACAAACATCAAATCCACTCCGAGCAGGAGCACGAGAGGGCATGTCTTTAAATAACAATAATAGTCCTCTGCTAGGAACTGACGCGAGATGCATTAAGCACACGTAATCAGTTTCTGTTTAAACATACGGTCTTTACGTATGTGCAGGGTGTGTACACAAGCCCTGCCGAAAACTTCAAACCAGCTTGTCTCTTCAGTGCTGTGACGTTGGACTTCAACTCGGGACGGCTACATAAATCATGACGAACGACCGTCAAAAGTACTTGCATCAATAAACACTGTAATAACATTTTGTTACATTTTAATGAGGCATTAACATTATCAAAACTGAAGAGGCAAGAATAAAACTTGTTTAGAAATACACAAGTTTAACACTGACCCATACTGTATCAGTACACTGTACATGAATGTTTTCGGCATTACGGATACGGCAAAAATTACAATTAGAAAGGTATGATTCATGAAGTCAAGAAAATGGCTTAGCTCCAGCTTTTGCTTTCACGTCAGGTACAAACTAATGCCAACAGTAACATCAGATCAGATTATGTTGACGTTCTAAGAAAGAGAAGGATATTGACAAATTCCATACTTTGCCAAGTGCACGCATCACGATTGTTTCAGAAAGCAATTTGCAAAGGTAATGGGTGACTTTGAATTGAAACCACAACTGTGGATATCATTAAATCCACTTTGTTTTGACTTTTTGTACATATATTATTAGTCTTTGGCACTGTTGTCTGAACCGTAATCATGATGCAACATAAACAGTACAATTTTCTCACAAATGACAAATTAAGTGTCATTGACAGTACTCTCTAATGACATGTAATTCATTTTCCATGCAATAAAAAGGAAACCAATACATGTTGTGAATATCTATATGCATGAGACAATCGAACAACCCTTCACAGACACACATGTAATACTTCAATGCTCAAAATTACTCACCAATTCTATCTAAATGCTTGTATTCTGTTACTTCACAAATGCTACTGATTTACTCAGTCTTTTCCTGGTAATACTTAATATGCAAATAGACTTTTGCAAAGGGGCAGTTGTGTAGCAGATGGCTAACCATTTAAGATTAGAGTGAGATTACAACATGAGCAGCCATGGTACACTGTTGACCCCTGTGCAACCAAGCAATAGCTATAACACACACATGTAGGCCTAATGTAAGCTAACCTTCACCTTCATGCATGCACAGTTCAGCCAAATTCAATTCTGTACGTTTGCGACTGCTTTCACAGCACTCGACTTGAGATTTGTTAGCGGGCAAGGTAAACAAATAACCAGGCATTCAGGCATAATTCAGACTCATTTTCAGCATGTTGACAGCAGTTCTTCACAAAAATGTCCAAACACTTTGGAACTACAGGTGCATCAGTAACCGTGAAACATTAATATAACTCAATTCCATCATTTATTCTATTTCACTTTCAATTTGAACTTACATGTACATGTACATGTATGTAGAGACACTATACATGTAAATTAGTGATAAACAATATTGGGTTTTGCCCCTTATGAGCTACCATAATTTTTGGGAAAAAAATTAATGATTCAATTCTTCATAAAACGTGACTGTGCATCTGATGCACCCTTTTCTAATTAGGTGTCTAAGCATAAATTACAAAACATGAGTTCCCACACGGCATTTTCATCGGTGAAAGGAAATCTGCATCTGAATCAACACAACGCTATCACCTAGTGTTGGAAATGAATAGCAAGCACATACAATGTCCATGTACGTGTACTTCCATGAATTCATGACAAATTATTATCAAGCTGAAACTGTACCAGTATCCGAAAAAAAAAATTCTGAGAACAGTGGGTGCAAGGTTTATACGCATTTACTAATAGAGAAAGGACGCGAGGAATGCACTAAGTCAACACAATTAGTTGTTTATTGACTATCACGAATGGGACAGGTTTCAATCCACTTGAAATTCTCCCTTCCCCGACTCGGTGTAAAGGGTAATGCACGACACGCGAGATCCACGGAAAAACTGATCAATGAATTGCACAAAGGTCACGAGAGTTGAGGCTATGCTGCAGGTACAGTACACAAGAAGCAAAACAAGTGCAAAAATATACGGTTTTAGGTTCATTTCTTTCCCTAATCAATGGAAATGTCAGCCCTGGGAGTTATAAACTGGCTCCAAACATCAAGGCTTGAAAAGGGTTTCACAATTTTGGGCATTTTCAATGCAGATGACATTTTAAAGAGGGGAGTAACCTATAGAAGATGATGAAATGTTACCATTAGCATAGCAGGTCATCACAAGATACATGTATCAAGTTGAAGGTGCGATGCAAGCTACACGTACATGTACCAGTGTTATGTTTTTTAATGTGGTTGGAATTTCATTTCCTCTTCTCATACCGACATACATGTACATGTACATACCAGTACTGTTTTTACTGGCTATAATCAATGACATTCATGCACACTGTACCAATTGAACATTCATGTACTCCATATAATTTCCGGCACAGTTTCCAAATGTATAATGCACCTGAGATATACATATACATGTACTTTTGAATCTCAACATTTGATGCACGATATTCCGGTTTTCTTGAAAACAGACGTGATCCAAGTTGAAATAGCGGTTGGGTAATGTGCTATCTCCACCTTTTATAAATCTGTCTCCACCTTTTATAAATCTGTGTGATCTTAAATGGTAATTCTGTGAGTTAATCATTTTGAGGCATTATTTCAATGAACTGGACCGCGATCAGCGTCAGGACTGTTTTAGCATTTGTCCAACCTTCAAACACTGATTAATAATTAACAGAGAGGGGTACATGCATGTCAGGAATGTTTGCCCGGTCTCATCTCCGCAAGTATTATCTCCAGATAAAAATCTGCTAGCATTACACATCTCCCAACAGCAAGGGGGCGAGAACAAAGTGTGTCACAATGATATCTCGTTGTACTTAGACCCCTACATAATCCAACACCCACACAAGAATTTGTCTTTTGCCTGATATGATACGTTATCTTTAAATAACCTACGAGCCAAACTTTAAACCTGACATGTTTATTTGTTGCTCCTATTTTCAAATATCAAAATAAGACATGTGACTGAAGGACAGAAATTGGGGACACTTTTTTTATTTTGGTCAAAGGGACAAGATCTTCAAACCCACTCCAAAAATCTGGCCTGCTGAATCATAACTACATGTAAATGACTTGAGTCACACATACATCATTAGAAGGCAAAACAAACAAAAACTGTATCCACATTGTAGTGTGTACTGATTGTATATCAATTTTTGGGTATCACATTGATATATACATGTACATATACTGGTACAGTGTACTTAACCAGGGGTGAAGTAAAATTTACTACATGCACATTGTACAGGTACTTTCACTACAAAATTCTTATATACTGTTTTCTATTACAACTGGCAAGTGTACAGTACCTGCATTTGAAGGATACTTAACTTACATGTACATCCATGTACATTAAATGTGGACTAATGAGTTGCCAACAAAGTACATGTATACATGTACAGTTTGAATGTACAGGCTAAGGCTTCATTAATCTGTGGGAAAGAGAATATTATTTTTCAATTCAAGAAAAAAAAAGGCTATAATTCTATCTTAAGTGTAGTTACATTAATTGCAAGACTGTACTTGGACACGTGCACAAATAACACACATGCATGTGAGTACACGTTCCAATATTACACCTTACCATTACATGCACATTTACAAGGTTTGTATCCTATTGTCAGGTACCTGGTTCAGTAAACTGTTTCTTTGACACTTTGCCTACTTTTATTTACAAATGAGATTGGGAATATTAAGTCTTCGGTGCATGATGGCAGCTTTCAAAATTTGAGGTACAGCATCCTTTGTTTGAGTGGGCAACTATCAGTAACAGGGCAGTGCTATGATTGGAATGTCGGAAGCAGTTTTGCCACCAGACACAGGTGTATGGAATGCCAGACATATGCAGAGTAAACAAAACACAGCTGCATTATATCCAGGTGGATTAGGAAAGACAGATGCTTTGTGTAGGTAAAAAAGGGTGGGATCGCATTTATGGCCGACAGACCAAACCAATCAGAGATCAGAAAAACTCCATTACAAAGGGAACACTAACGCAAAAGGAATGTTTGTGAATTATTGTAACAACCTGATTTTTAGGAGCACATATTTTTCTTTTAGATTATTTGTAAAATAAAAACAAGATCAGGAATGTGCACCAAAAGAAAAAAGGTATAAAAACACTGCCGCTGACAAACAACGTTTGCATTTTTGTACAATTTCCTGGCTGCAATGGTAAGAGCTTTTTGCATACGAGCTACTGGGAATGTTGCAACTGCAACACATCCCAAAACTACTGAAAATGTCAAGAAACTCAATCGAGCTCAATGAAACATACTTTTTCCCCACATGAACTGTAATGTTATTTGGAAAATCCGGATATGGATTGATCTGGCAACAAGAGTTAGTGAATAGAGTGATGGTACAGGTAGCATGCTCACGCCAGCAAAGTGCAGGTGAACGGCACAGTAATAACATCTCCTTGGATTATACATGTAGCCTGAATTTATAATTGTCTCTGTGAGGCTTCAGCCACCACACAGTAAACAGCACTCTTGATACTCCTGCAGAATCGGCTGAAACTAGCGATTCGCTGAGGTTTTGCCGTCAGAGGACCACAGTCTTTCCAAGGCTGCCCCCCCCAAAAAAAATCACCTCACAACACAAACATTATTGCTACACTGAAGCATTAGATTGTGGAATTTGACTGGTTGAGCTATATTTCATAAATAACAAGACAATCAAATGTCCATGTACATCATTCATGTCTTTCTTGTCCATCGTCTGAATCATCCTAGAGGATTCCGAATTCTTAGTCTCCTTACCAACTACATGTAATTCAATAAAATAGTATCCGTGCTTATGGCGGGTCGTGTACCCTGGATTATGCATGTGGTAATGCAAATACACAAGCTTGTCAACTGCCTGAACTTTAGAAATAAAAGACACGGGGTGATGACAAATGAAATTAACATTACCCAGGATGCTTATCTGTGTATGTAGGTATTCTGATACTTATTTCATTGAGACTAGCATTTTCTCCATAAAATGCTTCCAAAAATTCAACCACTGTGTTACCTACATGTACTGTCTGTTGCAATACGTCCACGGGTTCTACTCTTCGCCAAGGGAAAATGACCAACTTGTATGTTTCAAGATATTTGAGTTACAAATGAATAATCACATAGACAAAGAGAGCACTGGATTTAATTGAGCTTCTTACCTGTTTGTCAAAGTAGGCCTCCTGAGGGGTGGAGAGAAAGTCGGCTGCAGCAATGTCAATGTGCATCAGAATCTGACGGAACGATGGCCTGTTCTTGGGCTTGGCGCTCCTGGAAAGACCACCAAAATAACAAATGATACTGAGCAAATTGAATATTACAACAGTCTAATGGTCAATGTTCTGAAGGCTTTTGGTATTAAATGGCTCCACGACTCAAAACTGGCTCTGGCAACTTGCGACCCTTCTGTTAGGTTGAGCCACATTTGTAGTGACCTTACGTACCAGCACTGCATCATAAGGAGCTTGAAACCTTCCGGGCAAGTGGATGGGATTGGTAGCTGTAAGCTGTTGCTGCCAACACCCCAGATAATGGCTGAGGAATCCACGTCCTGCGATCAAACATTCATCCAAAGACAGGAAAAACTGATAAGAAATCAATGGTCATAAAACAAAAGAAAAGCAATTCTTACACATGAGATATCGGTTTTCAAACTCAAGCTTTGGTCCAGTGAGAACATATCCCCTTCTGAAATGAATTTGCAAAAAGCACCATAAACGTTACTTTCTTTCAATCCACTGGCCTCACCTTATAGGGCATTTCGCCAGTTAAGAGTTCCCACAGCACCACCCCAAATGACCAGACATCAACTTTCTCCGAGCATGGCTCGTTCCGGATGACCTCAGGAGCCATCCACGCCACCGTGCCGGCAAAGGACATCTTGGTACTCTTCTCGTTCCACTCGCGGCTGGTGCCAAAGTCTGAGATCTTCAGTATGTCATTGAATGAGACGAGAATGCTGAACAAGAGAAACAATAGAACACAATGAGCGCTTTTAAAATAATACAAATGTTATTTTGATTAAAAAGTGGTGAGAGTAAGTTAAAGCACTGATGGCTATGAAAAAAAATCTTCACGGGCAATTCCAGGAGGGACTCCCACCCAAGACAAACTACTCAAAGGTTTCATGCATCACCTTGCTTCAACTGGGTTAAAAGGACTTATTCCAATTTTTGACAAAGCCTGACACTTTTTTAAAGTAAAAAGAAATAATGTGCTGACAAAGCGGAATTGCCAAGGACAAATTCTTGAAAGGAAAAAAAAGAAATATCTGTGATATAAAATTGTGTCACTGGCTAAACTTACTTTGGTGACTTGAGATCCCTGTGTATGATCTTGTGCATGTGAAGGTAATTCATCCCTTGTGCTATCTGCTTGCTCCAGTCCACCATCAGCTTTGGTGGTATCTCGCGACCCTCCCGTAAGACCTCGTAGAGCTGACCGCACGGACAGTACTCCATCAGGATACAATAGCATGGTGCTTGCATGCACACACCCCTGTAAAACAATATGTTGGATTCAGGAATCATGATTGATCTCCTTTCATGATCCAATCTTTTTGAAATATTGGTGAGTACGGCTGCCTGTAAAAAGAAGCTAATCAAGTCTTTGAAGAAAAACATAAGAAACTAAATTTTGAGACAAATAAGCAGATAAACAAATGTGCCAAATATATATCACTGGTCTCACATTCTATTGAGGTAAAGGAAATTCGATAAGTTTCGAAGCATTTGGGTTTATTTTTCTACTTTTAGACAACCTAATGTACTTTTTGCGGATTCCAATGTCATCAGGGCAATTCTGACATTTATAATTGCCATTTGACATTTAACAGATTTTTTCCCAATAGTTTCTTCAGCGGATGACCCTAGGTACATATAGCTCATGTGTATGGAACTGGGGGGCAAGACGGTTAATCAATTGCAGATCTTACTTGACCGAGACGATGTGAGGGTGGTTGAGTTTCCGCAAGTGCTTGATATCGATGTCCTTCTCGTCTCGGACCTTCTTGACGGCAATGTCGACGCCTCGCAGTGTGCCCAGGAAGACAGCCCCCTGGGCCCCGCTGCCGAGCCACTGGAGATTGCGAATGTCTTCAAATGGGACCTCCCAGTTATCTAGAGGTGGGACCACACACGCAGAATAGCATCTTGAATATGAATACGTAAATGGTTTCTGAGTCGTCCTCGATTCAGGCTGCAGGCTTCAACAAGTCCTCTTTGTTCTTTAAACCCATTTCAAAGGGGATGTTGCCACCTACTGGTTCATGTACATGGTGAATATAAAAATTTGTTAATACCGGTACCTACAATTCTGATATGTTAATAGCCTTAAATTCTGTTACTCGTCTCAACAATAGGGGTGTTAACAGTCGAGAGTTGATGGAGTGTCTTCCACTGCTTGCCATGGATACCGGTACCAACCTGTCATTTGCTTTTCGGCTGTTGTGACCTTGCCAATGATGGTCCAGACTGGGCGGAGGCAACCCAGGAACCCGTCCAGCAAGCTGCGGCGTTGGCCGCCGCTGAATGCCACCTGATTGTCCCGGTTGGCGTTGATGTTATTTGTCGTTGCTGTGGTGGTGGTGGCGTTGTTGGTGTTGTTGTTGCTCGAAGCATCGTGTTTCTTGACGGGGAGGCCATTGCGCGGCGACGTCAGGTCAATCTCCTCACAGTCCTCCAGTTGTAATACGCTGAGGGTGGAAAATGTGGTTAAGCGAGTTTTTCTGAACGGAGTATTTTTCCGAAAAGCTCTGACTCCAGATAAATTCCTAAAGGAACACTGCAAGCCAATGAAGCTACCAGGTATATATGGCCATTTATCTCTGAACTTGAAATATACACGTACATGTACAAGTGTGGTAGTGGACACGACTGACACCCTTCACTCTCTTCACCCAGAATTTACAAGGCCGAAGAAAAAAGGGACTACTCTTCAATTTACTTTGACAAAAAAATAAATTTAACATGAAATTCAACTCATTCATATTTTTGTCTGTTGGGAGTGATTTTGATTTCAGTAATATTTGAACAAAACATTCATATTCATGTACCTCTACACGTATGTGTATATCTTCACACACTCAGCGAGGTGCCAGGAACTGTTATTATTGATGATAAAGTACCTTATAAAGCTCTTGCCGATTGTTCATTGACATATTTCGATGGCTTAAGTTTTTGAGAGGTAACCAGCCAAATTGCTCAAATTCACCACGGTCAGAGAAACAAACCAAACAAAACTAAATCTAATACCAAAACTAAACAACAGCCAAAAGGCAAAGAGAGCCAGTTTTAAAAACAAATCAAGGCTGCATTTCTGTTCAGCGCTCAAGTACTGTACATTTTAATTACAAGACACCCAATCACCGAATTCTCCAACCTACCAGTTGCTAAACTCCCGGTTCCGCTCCATATTGTTCACGACGTTGACTTTGGCCGGACTATTGCGGCTGGTCATGGGTCGGTCCTTGGCCATTAGACCACCGCAGTCTGTTACAGACAAGGTGGCCATGCTGACAGCGATGTCAGGCATAGAGGGTGTTTTGGGATCGGGGTTGCGACAAGAGTATAACTAAGAACACTTCTGGTGATGGAGAAAATGGGTAGATCTGTAGTGAAAGAAAGATAGGATGAAGAAATTAATGAAACTGCTCAGCTCTTACATGTAACTGTAGATGTGTCTGATACTGTAATTTGTGTACATACATGTACATGTATCATACATGTACACATCAGTACACTGTACTACTGATCAAGAAATACTGACCTTGAGTGAGGAAATGGACTCTTGTAAGATAATAGGATGACACTTTTAATGGGTTAGGCTCAAAGGAAAAAATGCATTGTTTGCTCTACAGGAAGCAGTGAACACTGGCAATAATCAGTGAAGTGCTCACTGGCCTTGTGGATAAGAAGTACTTATCTTAATTTCTCTATGCAATGTCAACTTACAGGTACCAGTATAAAATACCAGCTTATGTACATGTACATGTACCAATACTAGTGTAACAAAAGGTGACCTTAGAACAATTTAAGGAAAAAACAGGTGCATTACATGTACATGTACTGAACATCAAGAAGATTTTCAGCCATTTTTAAAAATGGTATGAGTACAGTTGAACCTTGCTAATAAATAAGAGCACTGTTGATACAAGATTCTGCTTCTAACAAGGAAACTTTCAGGTCCCAATCCTTTCTTTTTCATTTTTTTCATTCCTAATAATAAAAGATTGCTGTTATAAGAGGTACATGTAATAAGCCAAGTCCAAAGGACCTCTTATTAATGAGGTTTGACAGTAATCATGCTGAAGTCATGAATATATCTGTACATGTCCATTTACGAGAATGTATATATACATGTATAATAGATACAGTACCCACTATACACTGTTCATGTACATGTACTATCATGTGAAAATAAAAAAAGTGTGTGTAATTCACAGTATGATGTCAGGCAGGCTACATGTACATGCATTGTGTTACCGGTACATGAATATTTGTACATGTGTGTGATATACCTAGTATCACATGAAAATGAACAATCCCAGAACATCAGTACATGTACATGGACATGTGTACACTATACAAACGCAAAACATGTACGAAGTATGGTAGACATGTACATGTACCGGTACATTGTACCCAGCGCTGTGTGACAATGAATGTACATGTACACAAACAGGCATGCACCATCAAAATTACTGCAGACAATAATTCCATAACCCCCAGCGATGCAGCACTGCCATCTGCTGGCCCCACGCTATCATATGTTCCCTTGGAGCTCTTGGGTTATTATCAGCAATTATTCACAATTAGCATTTGAAGAAGACAACAAGCAAAGCCCCTTGCAACCACATGCTTGCCTCAGGGCCCTGCAAGGAAAAAATGCACAACACTATTCTTAAATTAAAGGAGCTCATAAGATACCGGGTATGCATTGTACTGTACATGTACAATTGCTAATTTACAATTTCTAGCCATGAATACAGTGTGCATGTTCAAGAAGCTATACATTTTTAGCAGGCCGAAAATTTAAGTGGTTCCTGACTGCAAAATCTACAGTACAAGAACATGTACATACATGTACACCTGCATGAGATTTTAAAAGTACACCTTTTTTTTTAAGTCGCATAACCTGTTTTGGAAATGTACATCTGCACTTCACAGATTCATCAATAGATGAGCACTACACGTATAAATACATGTATAATTATAATCCATTGATTTTTCAGAGTAAAAATTTATAAGATGTATACATGTATGTACATGTATACATGGGCATGTACATGTACATCTACCAGTATGTGCTGTACCAGTATACTACACATGTACATGTACACATGTAGGTGTAACATGCAGAATGTGCATACATGTACATGTACATGTACTCGTACTGGTACATGTAATATAAATGCAGGGCATGTTGTCCATGTGTTACCTGGATGTCCAATTAATAGGCACGATGAGTGATGCTAATTAGGGAGCAAACTATTACTGCAGAGTAAATACCGTACATCAATGTATACATGTATATATCTTAAAAATCCCAAACATAAAAGGGTTTTTAAGACAAGTGTCAATTAGCTCCGACTATGTCCACAACAGCACATCCATGCCTCATCTTGCCATGTTCCTGCTTTCACACTCCGTGCCGTGTCTATGATGATTATGAATGATGCGCTGCAGGGTATTAGCCATGGGCAGAATTTGTAACTGAACCAGTCTCATGTGAATTCTGCACAGTGTGCAGTTGAGACAGCATAGCCCTAAATGTTTGTAAGACAATGCTATCCATACGCACATAGCAGATGAACATCTTGACACCATCTTCCGAAATACTCCTTGCAAACTGAGGAGGACCCTGGCAGGTCCTTGAATGTATCCCTGAGACTAGTGAGAGTCCTCCCTGGCATGTCAAAGGTGTACATGTATGTACACACACACTGCAAGTTATATAAGTTGTCAGAGGCAATAACCTGGAAAAGACGACTGTTACAATAGTAATTTTTCCAGGCAAATGAAGCCTGAAATGACCAGAATGTATGGACATAGTGTGTTCATAACCCCTCTTGGCTTTTTTTAAAACTGAACTTGTAACAAGTGGATGCACTGTACCGTATGTGCATTACCCTGTTCAAATGTAAAACCTGGTCAAATCTTGGCGGGTAAACATGCTGAACAACCCTCCCATCAGCCCAGATCAACACTGCTCCCAAAGAAATATAAACCCCCACAAGACTTCGGCCGTGTTACGACCGAGGTTATTCAGTCACGGGGGTGCCTCGGAGATTTGGACACTCTTCCGGTTGAGGGAAGAACAAGAAAACAGGAAAAGCGTGTGGCTGGCGTTCGGACCTGGCAGCGCAAACTCTCCGTGAATACCAATCAACACAACATCAGACATGGCGGCACCAATGAAAGCTCGGGTAGAGGCTTGAGAATAGCCTCACCAATCACTATTAAAGGGGCCTGCATCGTGAACTGTACCGGTACCGTTATGTGGGCGTAGGGCATCATATAGGGAATAAACAATCAAGTACATGTATCAGGATGTGCAGCCAACATGAAACGGTACGAGAGCAAATATGCACCAATGGTATGCATGGCTCGACTGCTCAAATTAAAAACCTGTTATGTTTATATTTACAATAGGATTTAACTGTCCAAATCACGCCATCAATAATTCTTTCATTTTGAACAGTGTTGAGTCAAGCTAAGCAACAGTTTGCTCAAGCGCAAATTCATTGCCGTGCTGATGGCTTGTGAAATGTGAGGATTACATGTAATTTATTCTTAAGTGTGGACAGCGCAGTCATACATGTATGTGTACATGTCGGTGGGAAAAACAGGATGATGCACACAATTTATTTTCCATAATCAATTCTACGTGTGAGCGTCATATGGTACCGTAGTTTAAGTGTGAGGAACCGGAAGATGGGATTGAAGATGCAGTGAAGCAGGCTGGAGACGATCAGTGATATGGGGATACCGCAAACAGCTGTCATGGAATGGGGACTGATTTCCAGATGACTGGCAGATTGCACACAGGACGTACAATCTCCTCTTAAAACAAGTTTAAAAATAAGTAATCAAGGCTTGATGTTCTCAATGTTATTACTCCTCCCTCACAAGAAAAATCTTAAAAAACAAGAATAAGAGCAAAACCAGAAAAAAAAACACACGTAAACCAACATCTGAAATTCAAAAACTCAATTTTGATTACAATAATTCAGCACGTACACATGTGCATGTACAGGTACATGTACGTCATCCAGTGGCGGGGGGGTGGGATGCCCTCAAACATATTAGCTCTTTTTGTTTACCTTCTTTTATTTTGGGGGATAACTGAGAGCACCCGCAATTTAGAGAAATGGTTTTAAGCCCCCTCCCCTCCAGATACTACATGTACTGGTACCTTCCTTTAGAGGGAGGTGTTTAAGACTCTTTTGCAAATGAACATTACAGCACACAATTACAACATGAACGTGTAAGGAGGGTGCATCTGAGTGGTCAATGTGAAAGTCGAGACTGATTCGCAGCTGAAGACCCTTTCATGTAACTGTTCTTTCCTGCAAAAACTGTGCTACGGAGAAACATGATATTCCTTTGAATTTAGTACTGGTAGTTCGTTTTTTAATGTTTGATACCATTGGAAAATGGCACAATTAATGGATAAGCTGAGTTTTAGTAAGCACCCCGGCAGAGTGCCACTCTCTCGCCCATAAACATCGGGGGGACAGTAAGTTCCTTCCTTCATGATGAAATTGCTATGCCACAATATGACATGAATATACATGTACATGTACATCACCCCAACGTGCACAGAACCCTGATGCATCATTCATACAAGTTCTGGCAATGGCTATTTCTTAACGTCTTGACGATTTTGCCGAGTGTCTTATAATGCAAAAAGTACACACACGCGTACCAGGTAAAATTAACTCATGTTGAAGTCACGAAACAATGTTCAAGCTGTGCTTTCTGGCCGTCAAAGCTCCTGCTGTGCTGTGCGTGCAATAACAAATGGGCTCGGTACCCAGACACAAAGGTATTTTACAGTTCATTTGTGTACGCATTTTCCCTTGTGTGGAAAGGTGCTCCACTAAATGTACAGCGTGCTTACTGCACGCGAGTTTGTACACGTACGTGTACTGTACATGTTTGTAACGGTGCCAAAAATAAAATCATTGTACACCGCATAGCTGTTTACTTCTTACCACTTTTATGAGCTTTTGTGAAGAGGAAAACAACAAATCCAAGGTCAAATTGCTGACTGCTTTTCTTGGCCACGAAAAACAGATACTTTTATTTTCGTGTTTCTGGTTGCATCTCAGCAACTGCGATTAATTTTTAAAAAAAGTGCGTAGCAACTTGGCTGAAAAGGCATTACGAATTGCGATGCGATACCAGGAAAATTTTTCCCTGCCCTGATACACCACACGTGTACATGTATAATGTGCTCGTACACTACATACATGTACAGCATAAATCTGTAGCATATTGCAATACACACGTACACTGTACACGTTGTGCGCAAAGTTTGCAACAAAATGCTATTCAAATGAATAAATGCAGCTTGCAACTTTGATCAAAACCACATCATCTCCTT